TAAGCAAACATCGATGTTTTTCCAGCACTACCTGCAAGGGTATAAAAATGAAAATTGATTCAAGGTGTGTGTGCACTGCGACCTAGTTAGATCTGATGAGGTAGAGGGTATAGCGTAGTTGGGATTTTGCATTGAATTGATTTTTAATCTCAAGCATTGTCCTGGGATTTTCTCATAAATTGGTCTAAGTTATGTTGGTTTTTATAGAAAATATCTGTGTTATAATCTAATTTCACATAAATCTAGTAGATAAACCTTTAAATCTATTAAGCTTAGAGTTCATCAAGTCAAATAATCGACAATTGCTCGCCTAATGCCTTCGTCCGCTCCATTTTTCGCCGCTTCAATCAATTTCATGTGCCATGGGCGCAGTTTGTTTAATTAACCAGGGCCTGCAATTTCCACAATGGCTTTTGGCGCTTTCATTCCGCCAGTTTTACGTTGCCGTCGAGTGTGACTTCTCAAGCGTGTGACCGGAGGTGAAATTTTTATTTTTGATTTTTGGCATTAGACCCGCAAACCACTGCCACAAAAATGCCCAACTAAAAAGAGTTGGCTGCCTGGCTGGCTGGCGGGAGATGGCGATAAATGTGCACAGATACGTTGCAGACCGCGTCGCGTCGTCTGGCCGCTTTAAATGGACAACTGGGAGTGGGTCACAGCTGCAGCTGTGGAGCTCTGGTGCAGTGGTGCAGCCTGCGGCGCACCGAGGCAAACGGAGCGATTATAGGGACCCAGATGACTTGGGAATAAGCCGCCTTCCACCAAAACCAGTTAGCTTCTTCGTCTTTGCCAGCCAGACTCCGCTTCGCTTTGCGGCAATTTCGATTCGTTCTTTCGAAGCGTAAATATTTCAATTTATTTATTGGACATGCGTCTTCAGCATCGTATCAGTTTTCGAACACTTTCTTTATATTCAAACCGCCGCCGATGCTCCTCGTTCCCCGATCCGGCGGCAGATGTATCTACATGTGTCATGCCTTGACCAGAAGAAACCTCAATATCTTGGCCTCAGACTTGGACTCGGATTGGGAAGCCAGCACGCAACCTGAAATGTGTGTCAATGGCCTTTGGGCGCCCTTCTTTTCATTTTTTTTGGGGGGCGGGGTAGACAGACTGGGGCGTGTATCCCCGTGCGGATTTTCACTAAAATGAAAACTAAGAGTGAAAACGGCTTGGGTTTCTGTATTTCATTTTTTTTGTTTGTCAATTTTTTCCTTTTTTGCAGCAAACAAAGCAAAAGAGGTGTGTACGCTGATTCCAACTGCAGGCCATGCATGACCCGCGCGTATTAGTGTCCCATCCTCCGGTTGTCTGATTGTCATGCTAAATGGGTGAGGTGAAACTACGACTGCGATTTCGGACGGCTGGGAGCATTGGCCAACTCCCCTAAAGAGCATTGCCTGTCTTTTTTTTTTAGTTTTTCTTCTCTTACTGTCAACTGTCAAACGAAATTTACACGTTTTCCTTCCAGCTGCACCTCACGAAACTATACGACAAGCGGGCCAAATAGTCGGGGCCTCGAAGTCGAGACTGAGAGACAAAGAAATGGGGAGTGCGTGAGGCTCTTTTAATGGATTGATTGTTTGGTGAAGTTAGCATGTTAATTGCCTTTATGGAGGCGATAGACGACAAAGCACACTTAAAAGTCAAGAGCCCATTGCCGAGTTCACTGCTGTTTTCCTTTTTTATCAGTTGTGTTCCCAACGCATCTCAACATGACCAGCATGACTCTCACTCTGGCAAAGACAATGGAAAGGAAACAAGCTTTGTCTTCTAGGCACTTAAGAATTATTGAAAGTATATTTTAATTACTTCTTTATGGCATATCATTAGTTAGAGTAACACTGTTTTTCTGCATTTAATGCCAATTGTTTGGTGCCATTAGTATAATTGTTTTCAGCTGACCAGCTATTATGTGATGCAAACTAGGCATTTATCTCAGGGTGGCAAAGAACAAGATATTCCTTCTTTATTATTAAATATAATGTTAAGCAGTCCTAGGCTGTAGAAGCGGAAATGATCGAGGTCGCTGAAACAATTCAATTAAGCGCCTGCCTGCCTGCTCCTCTTGCACATCTGAATGAACGGAGCCCAATCGGAGTTAGCTTCTACCTGCTGGCCCGTCTGGCTGATGCGAATTGAAAACAAAACAAACAGAGCTTAGACTCTCAACTCACAACAATGCGGTCGTTGGACGCGCAGGCGCGCAGCAGGGGCGCTTAATATGCAGCCAGCGTAGCAGCCGAGCTGGTGGGGATTCGAGGGAGATGGAAACCCGTACAGACACAAACACACACAGTATGGCAAGCAGCAGCTGCTGTCTTTCGTTCTTGCCGTTGCCGCTCCGGCTGTCGCTCAACTGATCAACTGGTTTAACAATAAAAACAAAGCTCTGGCAGCGTTGGCGTTACTTTAACGTTTAACAGAAACGAAAAAGTTGCCGTCTTTTTTGTTGCTTCTCTCACACGCTGCCATCGATTGTCGGGGCTTGGCTTTCTTTAAGGAAAATAAAAAAACAAGACACAAACACACATAAAAGCTATAAAAAATGGTAATTTGTACGCTTTGCCTTTTTTCCTTCGCTTCTTGCTCAGTCGTACGTCTCACACGCGCTTCTAATGTCTGGATACGACACATAATCTCATACAACATCCAAGCCAACGGAAGATGATGATGGCATATAAAAGCACACGAGTTTTTCAATTGACTTGGAAAGTGGCAGGCGGCAAACAGCATGCAGCAAAATGGGGCGGACCCCAGCGAAAAGTAGGCGTGTTGGGCAACAACAATGGCCCACTGTTTTTTAGCTCTCGGCTTTGCCACACTTTTGATGAATTAGCCGTTTTTACCATCGAGTGTCGGGGGCCTGGAAAATTGAGTTGCAGCTGCACTTGATGGAAAACACTGGCAGGGGGGAGCCAAGGAAGTTCGTTGAGCCGGATCATACCCAGCTGAGACTCATTAAAACACCACTTGAACCACGCTTCGTGTTATACCGCCTCTAAGTGAGGGTCAATAAGTGGAGTTGTTGGCTGATTTTCGACTTGAAGCCGATCGGTGCCTTTGTGCAATGCAATTGGTGAGAAGTGGGAGAGAGCGCATGATTGATGGGGCTTCGATTGTAGAGCTGGGTAATTGATTTAATTAACAAACAGAAAAATCACAAAAAATTTACTTCCCATACCGGGAATCGAACCCGGGCCTTCTGGGTGAAAGCCAGATATCCTAGCCACTAGACCATATGGGATACGTTGTAGTTTCCCTTATCTTATATAATGATGCTGGCCTCATTCAACTGCGAAAAGTGAAAGAATTTACACAGCATCCTAGCATCGTTAAAAATAGAACTTGTGCACAGGCAATATGTGTGCATTGTCCTAAGGAGGGACCTGAGAACACAGTTAGCCAGCGTGTTTCTCAAGTCCCATATTGTCTAGTGGTTAGGATATCCGGCTCTCACCCGGAAGGCCCGGGTTCGATTCCCGGTATGGGAAACTTTTTTGCTTAAATTTGTTGAATATTTTTTATATGCAATTTTATTTTCTTGTTTTCATTTAATTTAATTTGGGATTTTTAAAACCAGTTCTCGTTTTGTTTTTGCAGGAATGAGTAATTTGTTCAGAACGCAAAGAACCCAAACGCTTGCTAACAAAACGAGTCTTTGCTACCTAGCCACCAGCCTCCCATATGGTCTAGTGGCTAGGATATCTGGCTTTCACCCAGAAGGCCCGGGTTCGATTCCCGGTATGGGAAGTAAATTTTTTCCTTTTTTTTTCAAATTGTTTTTGTTATATATATTTTTTAACCATATTTTTTGTTTGGTATAATGAGTTTAAGCTTTATTAAAGCCGTTTTTTTTTAACTAGACCAAGCAAATGGAGGAAAAACAGTGCGTACGAATGAGTTCCCCGTTTATGAACCACAACCGTCGATGTAAATATTTTTTATAGCCACATGTTATATTCGTAATTAGCACACTTATTTGTTTTGGCTCTTGTTTGCTTTATTTCATGTTCGCAATTGCCTAGCGCCACCAAAATTGGTGCCAATCGGACACGCTACGAAATAATTTCAGACTGTTTGGAGGGGCAAAGAAATGCCGTTGCCTTTAGTTGGCTGGCCAGCTTGTCAATTGCTGATGTTTGCGCTTATAAGAAAAATAAGAAAAACCTACAGAAACCCAAAAAGACGAAGAAGAGAAAAACGGTTTCGTTAACAACGACCAAAGCTCAAAAGCCAGAGTACTTAAGTTTTGTTAAACCGAAAATTAGACATGCCCAAGCATTGCAACATACTGGCAATAGCAGCAGCAACAGCAACAACGACAATAGCCTGCCGCAAAACGTGTGGCAAGCAAAGCAACAACAATAAAACGGACACAATGCCTTGACTTGACTGAGTTTTTAACGTTTTTTTCTGTAGATACGGAAAATTGCTTTTTCATTGTTGCAGAAACCGATGTTTGCTTGCTTGCTGGCTGTTTTTGTTTATATGCAATTGATTGCTGCTGCTGGCTTTGTTGTTGTTGTACTTGGCAAACTTCGGAAAATCAATTTTTAATTGCAACAAATTTGAGAGCTCTGCGGGACCGACAGGCAAATTGCGCTCCGGCCAAAAAAGGCAAATTAACGTTTTTAACATACGAAAACAATTGGCATTTTGAGTCAGAAACCAGTTTAACGGTATCGAACATCAGGCATCGAACAGCTGCATTATCTTTTGAGGAAATGCGCCGAAACATGTCAGAGAGGAGGCAATAAGTCAAAATCTCGACGAGCAGGCAGAGCCATTGAACCGTTGTAATTAGCATACGACTGTCTACGTGAGTGCAACAGAGAGGACAATAGGGGCACTTTCGATTATTGAACTTGTCAAATACTCCGCATTCACACATACGTATGTGTGTGTGTGTGCTAATTTTGAGAGTGTCTGCGCAACAAGCGTAACGGTTGCCAGGCGGCCATGGCATTTGTTTATTGTTTTTCTTTTCAGCTTACCTTTCTGCGATGCTTTTAGCTGGAAGTCTTCTCCTCTTCCTGTGGTGCAAAGCGAAAAATTAATTTCATTAGAAATCTCTCTTTAATGTGAATCCGACACGATATATTAAAACTACAAATAAGTGTGTGTAAACAAGATAAAGCGACACCGCGAAAAATAACACGATATCTATGGAGAGGGTGCAAAAGAGAGACGAAAACGCGAGCCAGAGAGAGACATCCCCCACGGCTTGTTGACGGAAACTCCTGGCACAACAACAACAACACGGGAATAGTGGCGACAATTGCTGGCGCCTTATTGATTTTTACTACTCGCCGCAGAGCACGATATTCCTTCAATTTAAACAGCACGCTTTCAATTTATTTTGCAATTATTTTATTTTCTTGCACAGCAAAGAAACACAAAGAATTTCGCACACACCAACACGAAACGCACACCCACACATACACGCGCTGCGACTTCAATGTCAACTCCACTTCTTTTGGATTTTTTACTTTTCTTCGTACTTGGTGCGTTGCTTTTGGTCTTGCGCTTTTCGCGGCGCAGCGGCTGCAATGAATTACCGTCAATCTGCGGATCTGCAGGTGGAAGAACACAAGGTACGCGGAGCGCCAGGCGCGCTTTTTCTTTGTGAACAAAAAACGAGCAAAAAAATCCGATTCGAATCAAGAGGTAGTGTGACCGTAAACAAAACACCAGACAGTGTTGCAAAATCTTGCTTGAAAATGTTCACAGTGTGACCAGACCGGAACACTGATCAGGTGTTGCCATTCAGACTGACGATACAAGGCGCGTAGTTTGAATGGTTAACGTTATTGTTATCGAAAAGACACCTGTAGCAATTATGTAGGAACCAGGTAAATTACACAAATGAATAAATAATTGAATTTAAACCACCACTCAAATTAAAACACATTTTTCTTGCCTAATATAGGTAATTTATTTTGTGACCGGCCAAGTGCCTCCTAGCCCGAGTTCCTGTACCTCCTCCTGAAGCAGTGGCTCACATTGGGCTTCACACCCTGGCAGCGATTGTTCCAGGCCACCCAGGCGGAGAATCCTTGCTGCTTCCTGATGTACTTGGCGCAGGCAATGGAATATCTGATGTCGTCGCTCAAAAGCAGGCGGCAGGGGAGCCTACAGAGATCCGTGGAGGGGCGACCGTCCGCGGGCTTGCACCAATACCGATCGTTGATCTGGAACAGACCCCAGTCGACGGATCCATCCGCATTCGCGGGATTGATGGCCTTGGTGTTGAAGGAGCTCTCGCCCTCGACGAGGCACAGCCAGTCGGGCAGCTCATTATAAGGCATACCATAGCGATAGAGTTGCCTGGCCAAGCTGCATCTGCCCACCTGACGGGCTCTCGCCGGTAAAGGCGATAAGAACAAGGATAGAAGGAGAACCAACGGCTGCAGTGGAAACGGTCGCATCTTCGGTCACACAATACGCGGCTTTAATTGGGGAGCCGTGGCTTTTATAGCCTGGCTTTGGGCCAATCTAATTTTTACAAGCACTCTTACTTGGGACAGCTGTGAAGTGTGGCCCACACTTGAGCATAAATTATGAGAACACTAGTGAGCAAGGTTGGGGAATGGTTTGCGAAACGTTTAAACTGAGCTTTGAAATTAGAAAGAAGCTTTAAACTAAGCCTTTCTTTATCAACTGTTAACTTCTAGCAAAGAAAGATTCCCCATAATGTATATAATATTTTCTGATATATAATTAAAACAAAACTGGTAAGTTTGCTGTTTATTTTTGCACTTAATAATATGCCAAACCTCTTAGCTCCTTAATTAACATTTCAATGAAATGAAACATGGACTTGTATGGTCTGAATTTAATAAAAGAAGAACAGACTATAAAGATAATTTATTTGAGTGCTTAAATGGGTAGAGTGGCTACTACATACAAGAATCTTTTTTTAAATAGTCTTTAAAGTATGCAAACATTTTTTTTAGAAATTAAAACCAGGCCTCTTATAATAAATCTCTGAGTATGCAACACATTTTCATTGGAAAAATTACTAACCAGGTATTTTATAAATATGGCACTTGACTTAATAGTTACTTTATTCTTTTCACTATAAAAAAAAAACTATAAAAGGTTCTAGAAAATTATCAAAAAAGTTTTAAAAATATGATAATACACCTCAACCTTGCATATTAGTGTCGAATCGACTTTCGATTCTCGATCATGGAGCAAGCAGGCCCATCGATCCGGCCAGTTTTGTTAATATATGGAGTGGGAATCGCGCGCCATTTAAGCGAGCGGTGGGGGCATCATCTGCCGCCTGGCCCCAGTTTCACTTTCAATGGGTTCTTTTGTGCTCTCAGGTATTATATAAGCATATATAACCATTTATATTGACAGCTGGAAGGGGGCTGGCGCACTTGAGATCGCGTGTGTGCGCTCCAACAATGGAACAATCAACCGACCGAAAAGTCGTTCAACTTTTGGACATCTCGTTGTCTTTTTCTCTAAAAGAGGCGTACAAAAATAGGCAACAAATCGCTCTTAAAACTATTTACTTAATTTCAGGTTCTGGGTCAACGTAGGTTCTGCATTTCTTGGTCAGGCAGCGGCGGCGTATACTTAATATCCTGTTCCGCGGGCGGTTGATAGCCTTGTTTGGGCAGAAACTGCCGCTTCCTGGAGGTAGGACGCACCACAATGTGAGCCACGCAGGTGCACAGGGCGGCAATGGCAAAGTATTTGAAACTTTCCCGTCCTCCCAGACTCTTGAACATCAGGCCACCGACCAAAGAGCCAATGGAGAAGCCGAGGCCATCATCCATGCCGGCCATCAGCCCCTGAACTGTGGCCGAAGTACCCGGGGGCGCCACCGCCGAGGCATATGCCACGATGCAGGTGTAGCAGAGGGCGTAGGTGATGCCCTGAAAGAAGAGCTCCACGCCGACGAGATACCAGGGATTCGGGATCCAGGAGATCAGCGACAGACGCACTGCATAGAAGAAAAAGCACATGCTCATGCAGTGAACGTAGCCCAGCTTCTTGATGATCTTGCCACTGTAGAAGAAGAAGGGCACCTCGCCGGCCAGGCACTCGGCGGCCACCACCAGTCCCTCGATTAACTTGATCTGATCCATATAACCCGTAGCCTCGGCCACCTGCTCCAGGTGCCAGAACATGAAGTAAATGATGAAGGAGTCAATGATTCCGGCCATGGTGGCGAACAGCAGGAAGACGAGAATAGGTGGCTGGCGTACCAGCTGCCAGACATCGCTCCAAATGGTCTCGGAGCCGCCCAGTTTCGGAAGCTTCAACTTGGACACACTAAACAAATCCAGAAGGCTAAACACACCCATGATTATCAAGGCCGGGGTCAGACTCTTGACCGCATCCGAGGTCCACCAATTGACCACAACGCCAGCCAGGAGGGCAGTGACTCCAAAGCCAATGGTGCCCCATACACGCTGGGCCCCGTACTTGTCCTGCTCCGCCTCGCCAAGGAGGTCAAAGCAGCAGGCATCAGATATGGAGTTGATCACATTGAAGCCAATGGTTCCGACGAACAGCAGGAATACAAAAAGCCAGAACTTGCCAGCGCCATAGATGCAGGAACCCACATGCTGCAGCTCACAAGATGCACTCAATCCTGAGGGACTGTACTCAGCAGATGATGCGAGGCACATATGATAGCTTACGTTGCCATGGCGCAGATTTTCACTGAGATTCAGCCCCGCCTGGGTGGCCACAATCATGGTTGCATATCGATTCTCTCCCTCACTGCAATCCGCCTCGTGAACCGTCTGGCAAAATGCTTTCGAGGAGTAGATCATAGGGCTGCATTCATGTAGGTCAGACAGTAGAGTAACATTCCACTGGGCACTGCCCTCCTCCAGGGGGATGAAATGTGAGTTTCCAGGCAGAAAGATGAAGCCGCCATAGGCCAGGGTCATGATCAGGATCAGCGAGATGAAGATGAATTTGCGCAGGCTCTGTAAACAAAGACGTTAAATTATTATATTATAAATTGAAATGTCCTTTTCTTACCGTAAAATAATCCACAAGGAAACCCACAAGGGGTTTGGCTAAAACATATAATATGGGCAAGATGGCCATGATATAGCCCATTACGTCTGGAGGAATACCGATTTGCTTGCCTATTACCGCCAGTTGAGGCAATATGGGTCCCATGGCTAAATCAAAATTAATAAATAATTCTAGATTTAAAGGATTTTGATTCAAGTTTGATAGGATTTTATCAATAATAATCCTACTAATTGTGTTTTTCCTAATCGTATATAATTATTGCATCAGGATTTCTTTTTTTTAAGTTCCGATAATGCCACCAGATAAGAGAGTTATATACGATAAGAAGTACTATACCAAGAAGTGATTGACATCAGAGTCAGAGTTCCATGAATTTCATTCTATTTGTGGATACCTGGAATCTATTTCCAAAACTCACCTGCCATGAAAAAGAAGAAGTGCGCCTTGATGGGCAGCAAACGCTTGTTGAGTCGTCCCATCGCTAATTAATTAATGAATTAATTATTGTCCAGTCTGTTGTTAATTATAGAATAAGCACTGTTGTGTCCCAAACGGTGACACAAAGTATCACAGTTATGGCCAGAAGGTGCTCCACCTAGATAAGATCATAATAGGCGTTCGCCGTTCGACGTGGTCGGGGTAGAGTCTGTAAATAGCCGGCAATATGGATGTAAATAAGAAAAAGTTTAAGGAATATCTAATCTGTGTCTCTCACGGCAACCGATAAGAGCCAGACTATATAGAAGGGCCATAATCGTTAGCATAAAAGTTCAAAGAGATAAGAGCAGAGAGCATAAGTCTTAAGGCACCCACAAATCTTATCTGCGACACCTTAAATTATTAAAGCTCACGGAAAAGGCGATAAAGAAGTTTTGTTTTTAGGGCCTGCCATAATAAATATGCCTTTGGGGCATTTCATTTGCCATGCGAAGATCTCCAACTCAATTAGTTATTGCCTGTGATGTAAGGCCTCAATTGAACTTGACTTTATATATGAATTACGGATTTAAAAAACAGGTTTACAGGTAAGTAAACTTGGCACACATAAATTTACGATTTGTGTTGCCAAACCTAACATTATAATTAGCCAAACTTTTCGAACATATATCATTAGTCAAGCACAAAATTACAAGCGTAGAAATCTCAATTTTGATGGGATTTCTCAGATACAATCGGGCTTAACAACGAGGAAGCCCTAGTAATACTTGACTTAACCGTGTTAAGTTGCTGAAAACAATGGCACAGACTAAACTTTACATTGTCTATATAGATTTGTTTATATAGTAGTTTAATTAATAATCTCGGAAACAATGAAAGCTTAACACCCACAAGTACTGCTGATTTTTCACGAAGATCCCAGAGGAGGAGGGAAACCTTCGAACGCGGAGAGTGGCGGCCAGCGACTGAAGAAATTGCTGCTCCAACGGCTTGCAGTTTGTGTGGAAACTGATAAGTGTGTCTGCTCTGTTTGTGCCTGTGCCGATAAGGAATCGGTCAATCATATGGCACTACATAGGAGACGGATTGATAAAAGCCAGATTAGGCGGGATTCAAGTTCAGGTAGAAAGCTAAGGAGAGGCTCTTTCTTAGACCAGGTATTCCCCGGGTACGGCACTCCCCACAGACAGGTGCTAATCAATCAGTTGGCTATCCAAAAACCCCGCCTGACTCATCAGCTGTGCGTAGTTGATTATTATTCCCCTGTTTACTCGCGATCTCGTTCTGCAGCTTGGGCTCGCATCGCTCGGATCGAGTTTTACTCGCTGACAGCGGAGAGGGCTGGCTTTCAGTCGCCGCCGATCTTCCAAAGCGCTAGGTTCGGTTTACAAGCTCAACCTCTCGACTTAATCCGGTCTCAATCTCTCGCGGGTTGACGCAATCAAGAATGCATTGGCTCACACCGATTTTGGTGGGGCTGTTGGCCTCGTCCTTATCAGTGTCTCTGTTGTGTGTGGCTGTGGCACCCCCAGACGATGGCAAATGTAAGTGGGAAACAAGATCGATTATCGCCACCAAAAAAGGGGGGCGGTTATTGGGTTTAAATATAAATAAATTTGTTGTTAAATTAATTTACATGAGTGATAAGTGTGCTAGTGCTGGTGTGTGTAGCTCCTCAATTACTCGCTTATTAAAAACGAAATGACAAGTGTAATCAAGCAAGGAATAATTTAAAGTGAATGTGTTATATAGGGAGAAGTAAATCATAAATCTATTAAATATAGAATATGATTAATAATATGATGAATTTCCTACAGTTTAAAAATACAAATTGTAACACCAGAGGCTTAATTGATACTTTTTCAGGAACGCTGATCTTTAAGAAGTATTCAAAGTTTAGTATTAATTTAAAAAGCTTAGGCCCCATAAAAAAAATAAATAGTTCCCCAAGCTACACATTTCTTATATTTTAAAACTTCCTGCCTCATCACAGACTGCAATTAAAAATCCACAAAAAACTCAAGCCATCATTATTCACTTTCAATCCCAAATGCACTGCGGGAGAGCACCAGCAGCAGCAGCTGACCTTGGCCACTCCACTCGACCGCTAGATAGAGGAGAGAAACAGTTTCACACCTCAAAAAAACCAGTCCCAACCTTGAAGCTTGCGTGTGCTCCACTGCCCAAAAGGCAGCCAGGCGCAGGGAGAAACTGCCTTGACTCTGCGCCAATTCTGCGAATGCAGCCCAAGCTCGGCTTTAAGGTTTCCCACCTGAGGGGAATTTTTAATTTAAGAGAAAAAAATCACAAGTAAAAAACCCATGATAAAAGCTTTTTCCGAAAACTGCAGCCTTTAAAAAGCTACCTAAAATAAAAATAATCATAATTAATGCCGCCTGTCTGGAAACAGGTTTCTTAGCGGCTCACTATATACTTAAATTGGTGACCAAACTTAATGTATTCATTTGCTCCTCCCTCTCTATCTCCTCCTCCTCTTCCTTAGTACGGGTTTGCGTGGTGGAATCGCGCGGCATTTATCGGAAAACCCCCAAGTTCTGCCCGCAGCTGGAGGCAAAGAGCAACATCGAGTGCGTCATCGGCGTAGACCGGCTGGATTGCGTGCGTCGCATCCACAAGGGCACGGCCCACTTTGGCGTTCTCACCTCCGAGGATCTGGTGGCGGCCCGATGGGCCAGCGTTGAAATCCTGGTGGCCAGCGAGCTGCGTTCGCACGAGTCCAACTTTGAGTACGAAATTGTGGCCGTGGTGGATAACCAGGCCAATATTCACACCGTTCATGATCTCCGCCATGCCAAGTTGTGTCATCCCGGCTATGGATTAGGCAATCACTGGACGGAGGTCCTTGCTAATGTAAGTTATCCAAAGAGTAGTTTATTGGTTTGATATTAATCCTGGTTCTTGGCTTTCCGACAGTACTTTGAGGCCGCCATGGTCTCCAGGACTTGCGATCCTGAGCTGACCGTCACCGAGGATCGAATTGCCTCCACCTCAAGGTTCTTTGGGCCCAGCTGCAAGGCTGGTCCCTGGGTGCCGGATCCTAAGCAGGATCGTATCCTTAAGAGGCGATATCCCTCGCTCTGCGAAATGTGCTACGATCCCACCAGCTGCGACCAGACCGACAAGCACTGGGGACGACGAGGAGCTCTATATTGCCTGACCAGCGGCGGTGGTAATGTGGCCTGGGCACGTCTCGACGATGTTCGCAGTCATTTTGGGGTAAGCGACAAGAGGAATCTCTGAGAGAGTGAGCCTTGAGGAACCCTTTATTCCCGCAGTTTTCTGGCATTTCGGCTCAGGCCAATCCCTCGGAATACAGCTACCTCTGTCCTGATGGGCATCTTCAACCCATGAACGCCACACAGCCTTGTGTTTGGGTAGCAAAGCCCTGGCCCGTGGTGGCCGCCCGTCGCACCCACGCTGCCCAAATTCAGCGACTGGTCACCGGATTGACCCACGACGAGCCGGACAGCTGGCAGAATGCGCTGCTTAGCCTGCTGGAGACGTACCATATCTTCACGGTGCCGCTGGACAATGTGATATCGATTGATGACTACTTAGACCAGGCCACAGCCTTCCAGTCGGCGTACAGCTTCCCGGAATGCAATCCACCGCGTTCTATCGTCGTCTGCACGACCTCCATCATTGAGCACGTCAAGTGCTCCTGGCTGCAGGAAGCCTCCCAGGTCTATGGCGTCCAGCCAAACATTCAGTGTGTGCGCACCATGGAATTGGAGCAGTGCCTGGACAACACCAAGTTCAAGGGCACAGATGTGGTCGTGGTGGATCAAGACATGCGTGTGAAGGCTCAGAGGGACTACCACCTGGTGCCACTGCTGTACGAGTTTGCCGAGGGCATGCACAATCGGTATGTGACCATTGCCTTGGTTCACAAGGATGCCAAGGTGGAGAGCTTTAAGGATCTCCGCGGGAAACGGGCCTGCTTGCCCTCCTACGAAGGAGCTGCTCATCTAGCTGTCCAGGAGACCATAGTGAATGCCACTGGTAAGGTGCATTCGCTGCACTCCTACTTCCACCGCGACTCCTGCTTGTGGCATCCGCATCAGGGCCGACAGTGTCCGCTGCACTACCAGGGCGACGAGGGCGCCTTGCGCTGCTTAGCCGAGGGTGGAGAGGTGGCCTTCCTCAGCTCTGATGTGTACAAGAAGTATGTGAGTGGGAATCTCACCGCCGACTGGGTAATGCGCAACAACCACAAGGCCTTCCGCGTCCTGTGCCCCTACGGAGGCGTCGAAAAGCGCTCCAGCTTCGAGTACTGCTACCTGCACTGGACCACTCGTGGCCATTTGATGACGCACAATTCTTCGGTGACGCGGCACAACGAGATCTACAACTCGCTGCGGGACATGGATCAACTGTTTGGCCGGAAATACAAGAGCGAGACGCGTCCGTTCACGCTCTACGGTGTCTTCGATAACAGGACCAATATCCTGTTCCGGGATACCACCGATGGACTGCTGGGCCGGCAGGAGCTACACCGGGATAACGCCAAGCGAGTAATGGAGCACATTTACGATCGGTATGCCACAACGCAGTACTACAAAAACATTGAGGAAAGTGGAGCCACAAAGTATGGCCATGAGAGTGCGTTGATGACCTTGCTGTTTTGTTTCCTGGGAACGCTGTGGTCGCGATTCGCCTAGTGATTAGGCCCAACTCAACCGAGCTCAAATCTAATCTTATTTATTGTGATATTACGCTAAATTTAAGTTAAGAATAAAACGTAGCTTCAACCAGGGCTGTATCACCAAGTTGGCGCTTCATTTTGAATTTGATGAACGATGACAGATAATCGATTTCATAAAATACCTACCAGTTGCTTTGCGGCATGATAGCGCTTTCCAGCACTGGCTGCCAATCAGCTGATTTTGTTATTCCTGCGCCTTTGTTGTTGCTATGTGACGTTGCCAAGGAAACAGGAAAACAAGGAAAAATGTCACAACTGAGCAGCAGCATTACAATTGATTAAATTAACGTGGCATTCCGGCATTAAATTAAGCAATTTATAGAGTAGTTTTGGCCAATAAAATGTCGAAAAATGCTACGCGAACCAGCAGCAAACCGAACGTAAGCCAAGCGCGGCACCGAAAATCACCCAAAAGCTGGATTTGAAAGCACATAAAGATCTTGGGCTTCCATTGATTAGTACGCAGCCAGCGATTTCACTTTTTTGCAGTTTAATTAGCACTTCACAAAGACACAACAAACGGAGCAGCAGCACCGCTTCACTTTATCTTTTTAAACTGCCACAAACTCCGGTTTTTAGTTGTATTCCCCACGATAACAGCCAGATAAGCGTTACTGCGAATTAGAGCCCGCACCAGCATTTTATTAAAGCAGCAATATATATTATAGCGTTCAATTAAAACCAATAAACGAACCGATCGCAACACACAGAGAAAATTCTTTTGTTTGGATTAGGCGGCCAGTGTTGATCAGTGCTGTTAATCAGTGCTGCAAAATCATAGAAATCCGTTATGATTTCAAAATTCCATTTAAATTACAGGCCCGAAGTGAATTATTGCCCAGGAAAGCCACAAAATCACCGGCAACAAGTGGCCCAGCGACCACAACAGCCAGGGAATCAAAGGAGCGAAGGTCACTGGTCAGGCAACCGGAAAGCCTCGAAGGTGAAAAAATTGCAAGGAAAACCGCAGCAACAGCCCAGCCTTCAACCAGCAAAAAGCCGGTAAACACTGCAAGAATCAAGGAAGCAAGGGAACCCCTAAGCAAAAGGACCACTCCATCCCCCGGAGCATTGCGTGCTAGCAGCCGGCTTACACCCACGACAAGCAACCCGCCCTCAAAGCCCTCCAAGACCAAACCCCCTGTCTCCAAATCCAAGCCCAATGCAGTTCTGGACACTTACCACAGTGTCACAGTGGCCTCGCCACCGCAAAAGCGCAGAGAGCAGGCAAAACAGGCAGAGCCAGCTGGCGAAGAGTCCCCACCTGCTCCGGCTAGAACCCGCACCTTCACGCGCACCCTGCAGCCGGAGGAAGTGGTGGTTCTCAAACGAGAATCGGCCAAGCAGCGGAGCGAGGTGGAGAAGCCGCCAGAACCAGAGCCTCTCAAGCAACCTGTGGCCTTTGAAGTCAAATTTGAGGAAGAGAAAAAGACCGAGCAGGAGTCTGATCACTATTCCGATGATTTTGAGTCCTACGAGTCGGATTTCGAGACAGATGCCAGCACCCCCGAAGAAGATGAGGAAGAACGGGGTGATAAAGAGGAGCTACCTTCATCGGAGGCAGATGATGAGGAGCCGGAAGAGAAGCCAGAGGAGGAGGAGGACGAGTCAGAAGTGGAGGAGGAAGACACCGAACCCACTCAAAACCCCATCACCGTGATCCAGCGCGAAAAAGATCAAGAGCGCAAGCTAGACTCCGGCCACTACGAGATGCACCTGCGAAGGAATCCCCTGCAGCAGCAGCAGCAACACCACTATGACAGCTTCGATACCAACTCCATGGCCAACTCAGACCAACTGGACTCCGGCATCAGCACGAATGGAGGAGTGGAGAAGCCTCAGAGTGGAGGAGAGTGCGGCAGCAATACCTACTACGGTGGCTACTCCGGCTTCGTGTCCCATCCCGTGATCAGTCGCCGTGGCGAGGAGCTGATGGCCAAGCTGCGCTTCGACCAGCTCAACTACCACCTGTTCGAGATGAAGCCCCTGAGCTACGAGGGCTTTATGCAGAGCTACGGCAAGCTGAATGCCTGCCAGCTGGCCACGCAGACGGAGTCGCCCCACATGGACGGCGAATGCCAGACGCTGCAGGTGCACACGCGCAGCAGCTGGACACAGCATCCGCCGCACTACGGCGGTCAGTTGGTGCTTAGCTGCAGTGGCGATGCAGAGACTGAGATGGAGACCCTGAAAACCCAGCCTAGAGATGAGTACGAAGAGAGTCTCGCCTGTTTAGAGCGACTGCATCGCATGGAGCAAGTACGCTCTCAGCAGCAGCAGAGTCGGAGATTGGCCAAGACCACGGATCTGGAGCGACTTAATGCGTTCGTGCACAAAGCCGCCCGTCTGATGGGTCGGGTGTTGGAGGGCACCAAGAACCAGAACCACACTAGCAGTGCCAGGAATGTACCCCTCCAAACCGGACTCCTGAATGCCCTTCCTGTGCGTCGCATTTTTGGAAGCTCTGCTGGCAACGGACAACTGGTGGTCACCGTACACGAATGCCCGCAGGAGAGCAATGTGTACAGCGAGGACTTTGCCAGCCTGTTGATGGTTTGGTCTCTGACCAATCCCGGCCAGCCGTTACGGCTGCTCTCAACCTGGGCAGAGGTAAGCCGCGTGGCGCTCTGCAGCGAAGCTCCGGACATCGTGGTGGCCGGACTCCGAGATGGCAGTGTGGCCATGTGGGATCTGCGCGAAACGCACAGCTACTGCTCCAAGTTAGATGGCCACTTGACCCACTTTGCAGCCACTCAGTCGGTGGTGCCCATGCTGGAGCAGTTAAATCAGTTGCAGGAGGTGACGGCTGCCATGGACTTGGGAGCCGTGGTGGATGTGCGCAGCTTTAGATCTCAAACAAAGAGTGGAGGAGGCATGACCACAGCGGGAACACCATTTAAGGAAGTGCAGGTGGGATTCTAAGACCTCCATCATCCTCCTTAAGAGACTAATTCCTCTTAAAAACCTTTCCAGTTCGCCGCTCTCAATGACTCTGGCCTGCTGACCATGTGGACTCTGGTCGAGGGCGCCTCATCTAGTAATACCAACGAGTTCAGCTCACCTTGGGCACGGGTTAAGCTCCTTCAAAGCGCCAGCTGTGATCTGAGGAGCTACTTGGAACGACGCCTCCTGAAGAGCAATACGAGTGCTTATGAGAAAACCAAGAGCCTTTTTCAGGGCAACATCTACAGCGACGATCTGCTGCGGGAGCTGAACGAGACTCAGACGCTGACCACTGCCCTGCAGGGACAGGGATTGCAGGGCATGCGCTTCACCAGCATTGATACCGGGAGCGATCTTATCTACGTCTGCACCAACCGGAACTTTTTGCTTTGCTGCACTCGGAGCCTGAAGCCGGAGCGTTTCACCAGAATTGCCGTGAACGAGAGCAGGTTCCTCTTTCCCACCTCACTGTGTGTGCTCTCCAACGAGAGCTATGTGGCCGTTGGCCTGTCCAATGGCTCCGTGATGATACTCAACTGTAATCAGCGGCAAAGGCAGCGCCAGAAAGGATACCAAAGACCAATGACAGGTCACCCGCCAGCCACAGCTGAGCCCGATCCGGACACGGGCAAATCGTGTGCCATTCAGAACATAATACTCAACGAACGGCGGTCCTTTGACCAGCAGGTGGACCCCTTAGAGGGCAGCAGCTACGATGCCAGACCGAATACAGCTTTGGAGCTAATTGAGCGACCCAGGCGCTCCTACGAAATGCGGGTCTTTGACCAGCAGTTACTCTTGAGCGGCAGCGGGCTGCGTCAGCATCTTGTCCAGGCTCTGATTCTCTCCAGCGACGGCTGGCGACTCTCGGCTTTGGCCAATGGCGCGGTGCGTACCTACGACTTCTACCGGGACAGGGAGCTGTTGGCTAGTGGTGAACAGCCGACGGAGAGGCGCCTGAAAGTGACGGATATAGCGAGCGCTCGCAGCTCTGGCAATGAGCAACACCTGCTCATCCTGGACACTGCTGGCCAGGTGCTAATGCAGCCACTTGATCACTAGTTTTGTTAATTATTTTATAATTATTTATATGAGCTAATATATGTTAAACTGATTTTTGCAAGCAATAAAGACGAAATGAATGAACTGGAAATATTTCAGGAAATTAATTGGAAAGTTTTCAAATTAATTTAATATTTATATGTATTTTATAAAGATTTAAAGGTAGTTTTTTTAGGAAAAGCGATTGTTTTTCAATTGAATTTAATATTTTAATTTTCTTTAAAGTTCATTTCAATTTCTTGAGGTTTTCTAAAAGATATTAAAAGGACTTAAATAGTAGTTCTGTCGGAGTATTTAAAAGGCTTTTTTTTATATATTTGGATCTATCCAGAAAAATTTTAAAACTATATTAACTTTAGCTTAATATTCTAGCACTTATGGCAAACATTTTCATTAATTTCCAATTTCTAGCTGCTGTTGATAAATTTCTTGATTATTATGTTTCTAATTCTCCTTGTTTTATAAATAAAATTCTTAAATCTCCTAAAAATCTAGAAAATTTCCTATATTTTCTTATTTAAAATGCAACAACATACGATTTTCTTGCGAAACTCCTATATATTTTAATTAAACCTTTGCCAAAAACAAACAAAACTCTATATATTTCACTTAAACCTTTTCTAAAATAATGTTTCACTAATTTTAGTTTAAACATTTATTAACAAAAATCTATATAACCAAAAAGGCATTTCAGTTCTTAACACTTCACTTTTATTTACAGATCTCCACTCTTTTTTTCCTGCTCCTCTTTTGATTTCACACCTGTCTGGCCATGGACAGCATCCCGCCTGCAGCTGTGGTGGCCCCCAGGAGCTGTCGCACTGTCTGCAGCTCGTCCCTCAAAGCCAGAACCTGAGCCCGCAGTATTGAGTTCTCTTGCTCGAGCAGAGCCGCTCGAAAAGCTATCCGATCCTCGCGTATTTTCCGTGCATCCCTTGACTTCTTGGCCGCCTCATTATTCCGCTTGCGTCTCTCGTAATACTTGGCATCCTTTTGGGCATCCGGTATGGGTCGCTTTTCGCCGCGAACCCGTCGGTGCATGAAACCCGGAAACATGCTGCCTCCGATGACGCCCACGCGGTTGAGCTCCATCAGGGGAAATTCCAAAGCCTGAAGGGCATGACTTGGTGGAGCAATGTACTCGAAGGCGGGGAGAGTGGGAGCCACTGAACCAGGAGATGTCTTAGAGCCCGGGATCAAACCAGGGAATCCCAGGCCCGGCAGCCGAAGATTGTGAGGTGCGGAAAACGAGTATGACGACGACGACGGCAGCTTCTTCTTGGGCTCAAAGTCCGCCTCCAGGTCGGAGTGCAGCGACAACGTCTCGGTGACATCCAGGATGGGCGACTGGGCTGGCGAATGCATCCTCTTCTTCGACATCCGTTCGCGCCAACGACCGCGTTGTGTCTGTGTCTAAATCCTGCGCTGAGTTATGGCCCAAGCTAGTCCTGGCGGCCACCACCTGCCGCCTGGGCCGCGGTAATTATAGGTTCTTGTCACACAACAACCCCCCACACCGAACCACACACCACCCCCTGTGGCCATGTGGGGCTAATTCTAAGCCAGCCACAGCCCTCCTGGCTCCCCTGCTCCTTCCCCGACGCCGGCTGATTCAACCAATCACGCAATGTTGACGGTAATTATTCGTCAAATACATGACACTTGGCCGGGGCCGCATGGCATTTATTTGTGCTGCCCGGTTACAAGGACTTCATATAACTGGTTAGCCAGATTACAAACCCCAGTCCCCCCCTTGACTTGGCCAACTGTTATGCGGCGGGGCGGAAAAGAGTCCTTAGACCGGCACTGACCAATGAGCGTGGCCGAGAGGTCATATAGTGGGTTGGGGGAGACCACAGGCCTGGCTATCGACCGGCATTTTGTGGGCGAATGTTCCTCGATAAGTCACGGTAATAGTCTGAAAGAGGCGTGGTAAAGTGGCCAAAAGGTAATGCACTCGGGGAAAATGAGCCATGTAAAGATAAGGGTTATGGTATTTGGGGGCTCCATTATCTTTTGATATTATTTCTAATTCAAAAATCAACTTTTTACTTTTTATTTGATTTAAATTTGTAGATTAGAAATCTTATTAACATAAATTTGAAAAACTTAACTTAGAGGCACTCATATCTTTGATCATTTTTACACACACTTTTAAAACTAATAAGGTCCCAAAATTAGTTTTGAAGAAGACCGGATACTAAATTTTTTGATGGTAATATGCTTTCAAAAAATTAAAAAGAGAAACCTTACTTGATTAGACATATTTTTTACATAAATAATTTTACTGTTATTCGGTAACAACCCACAAAAAAACCTGCCAAGTCAGCACAACTCCATTTGGCCCATAAGTAATCCATCATATCAAGACATCAAAAAGTTTACCCAACTTCAATTTGATCACAAGCATGACTCTTGAAAAAATCGAATTATTTGCATGTTGTTCCCTCAGATATATGTATATTCCTCACAAATCCAGCATATAACCAAAGATATGTATGAGCTTCGTGTGGTTCTGGTTCTTTAACCCGTTCCTCTGTGCTGGTTGAGAAAGTGTCACCTGTTTGCCTAGCCAAATTGGCAGTTTGGCGCGCGGGTCTTCCCCTTTTTCCCTGTTCCCTTTCCACCATAACCGGAAGTCGCATCCTTATAACGTTTCATAATGTATGCGCTAATTTATTATCTGTTGGCAAAAGTTGGGACCATAGTTAACCCTTTGACTGGCATGCCACCGATGTCGTTTATTGGTGTTTGGTGAGCCAGGAAATAAAATGGATTGCGTGCCACAGTGACATGTCTGTCTGTAACCCGAAAGAATAGAAGGAAGCAATTCTCTAATATCATTCAAAGGGTTGAGGCAACTAAAATCCCGTAAATATGTGTATTTCTCTGGTAAAAGGAAGTTTGGAAATCCATAAAAAAAAGTATGAACCAAATGCCCATTACCCTTAAACTCACCCCAGAGACCTCGCTAATGCATTGGGAGGAACTCAGTCTGGTACGGGTCCTGGGACAGCACTGGCTATTTATATGTTAGACAAATTACCAGGTAATATAGCTAGCAGAACATGTAATTGTTCCAATGTTTGCTTTTGGGTCAGTAATTGAAGAGCAAACCTCGGGGACAAACCGTTAATGACACCTCTAATTGGATGACATTAGCACCGGGCCCCCGAAAAAGAAGCATGACCGAGTAGTCCCGGCTCTATTTGTCTGTAGAAAACACAGGCATTGGTCCGTCCGTGACGTCTAGAGCTATATATTTTAAATCTCAGAGAGAAAGCTTAAAAGAAGTTAAAGAAACTGTTACGGAATGTGCGACGAAAGTTTGATCCGGGACTGCGAGCCCACCACCTTGCGGATGCCCTTCAACACTTATCACATCCACTTGCCGCTTTATATTTTGGACATGGTGCGCATGTTCCAGGATCATCCCAAGTACAGCTGTGGCATCCAGGAGGAGCACATTCTAGATATGCTGGAAAAAGAGTAAGTGGGGTTTACGTGAGATAGAAACTTGAGAACTTAAGAGTGTCTTGTATTTCTCTTTGGAGAGAAGTATGAAGCTTCCAAAGAATAATATATATCCAATACATAACTATACTAATTTGATGTATCACCTCCTCCTCCATAGACCCTTTGCTTGTGGCGATCTGGAGTCGCAGGTGAAGACTGCCTTGCTAGATCTCACGGCCAAGGGATTCGTACGCTTCATCAACAATGGATACCGCACTTTGGGACCCATTGCCAAGCTGGCCAATGCCCGATCTGTGCGCCACTTCAACATGACTTGGCAGCGCATTGCGGAATTGCAGAAGGCCAACTGCACACCCATTCTGGAATCTGGGTCCGCATCCAGTGGCCATGTCACCCAGCGTGGCTCTAACTTCTAAAACAAGCTGTTATTTTTTTTACTTTCGTTATGTTTTGTTCAATTCGTTTCTTTTACGTTTATCCCCAAGCAAAACCCACACTCCAGCAGCAGCCACGCTCCATCACCATCTCAATCGAAATTGTAGGCGTCTAGTAAAAAAGAAATTCCGGTAAATCCAAGTTCAGGGTAGTTTTTCGGTCATCATCATTATTATCCAAGGAACACATGTCGTTTGGGGTTCGGGCCATCCTTTTGACACTTAACCAGGCTAATTACGCGGAATATTGTGGGTTGTAACCTCCCTCACTCGCATGAGGACTGCGGCAGGTGTTGTGCCGGGTTCCGAAACAGATTTCCGTATGACAATTGTCTGTGCCAGAGATCCTTGATCCATTGGACTCTTCATCCCCGAATGAACTCTGCCCCAAAATGACCCCTGGCCTGGTTCGGCGGCCCATTACCCTTTTGGCCGAATCGTTTAAATTGTCAACACCACCAGGACAATGGTGGGCACGAGGAGGACCAGGGACCACGACCTGTCGTCGTCATACGAGCCAAACACGCATGGGATCTCGGACAGGTGTTATTTATTGCCTCTCTAATCGTTGCGGCATAATCTATTAGCGCCGCGCCGTCGGATCCACAAACGGTGTGTCCTTTGATTTTTTGCTTTTGCACATTAGTGGCAATTATTATTATTGTTTTAGTTCCCGAGGCACAGTTTTCTGATGGCTGCTCATAATTGGACTTCAGCCCCAAAAAGACAGGACATTAATCAAGCGACTTGACATGTAGTTGGAGCAGCAAAAGAAAGTTTATTACATCAATGGAAGGTTTTATTTGGAATCAAAATTAAACAAGGGGCAAAGTAAAATTTATAAAGATGGAAAAAACATCAAACTCAAGGCTCAAACTTCAGTTCAGATGGAAAATTTGATTTGATCAGACATGTTGTTGGAGAAGGAAAATAGTTTATTACATCCATGGAAGTTTTTAATCTAAATCAAAATAAAACAACGGAAAAAATTAAAATTTATAGGGTAGGAAAAACATTAAACTTAAGGCAACTCATTCTGAATCAAAATTTAGAAAAGGAAAAAGTGAAATTTAAAGAGATGAAAAAAATATCAAACTCAAGGCTCAAACTTCAGTTTCAAATGGAAAATTTGTTTTCTTAAAATATAGCTTTTCTTAAGAAACTTACTGTAATATGGCTTAAAAATAACTTTTGGTCAACATAAGATATCAAAATTCCTTACAAAAAATCAAATAACAGCAGTTTTCGTTTCAACTAAATTATAAAAAATAAAACAAAATCAATAAAGAGGCTTAGAAATTATCTGCGTCATTGTGGCTTTCTTTCTGCACCTCCTTGTTAAAGTTCTCCTGAAGACAATCACTGGGTTGGGCATAGCCACGCTGCAGCAGCTGCCGCGGAACATCCGCATATTCCCCCGTAAAGCCCACCAGAACGCCATCCGGCAGGCGATGCCTCAGCACCACATCCATCTCCGTGTTTTGCAACTTGGACTTTAGAAATTCCACACATTCGGCGGTCTTTTGATGGCACAAATCAGGCATTCGTATAACGCCCTCAATGTGGCAACTAATGGCCCGATACGGCTTCCTCCTGTCCACATCATCGCACGGAGCCAACGATTCGATATACACAAATTCCGTGTTGCCATAGTCCACATAAAAGATCTTGTAGTTCCCGTCCAGTTCGTCCATGATCTGGGCCCTATAGTAACAGTCATCGCTATAGTAGGCCAGCACAATGTCCAGGATTTTCGGTTTTTGCTTGAACGTGCGCTTGTGGTCCGGCACATCCTTGCTGGCCCACACCAGCGGAGGCATACGATCGTCCACAAACTGCGCATACACTTCAATCGGACTATTCACGAAGGTAATCAGCATGCGGACCGTGCTGCCCATCTTGTATTGCTCCAAGGTATCGAACACAGCTTCGGGCAGAGCTGCGGCCACCTCCACATCCTTGGTGGCACCCAACGGGGCGAAGGGCTCATGGATCAATCGACAGTTGTTGCCTGTGAATAGAGTTATTTAGGTTTGCCTGCCAAACTAAGCGTCTCTGAACGTACCTTTAAAGCAGCCATTAATCTTGGGATCATAGTGCCTACAAATGCGTTGTTCATCAGTTGGCCTAAAGCCCAGCACGGCCTTGAGGGGATCGCTGGTGCTCGGTCCAATCTCATTAAGCATGGCCATATCCGCCTCGCTCAGCCTGGCAGGAGTTGGCTTTTCAGCAGGGATTTTTCCTGTGTCATCGGGCTTATCCCTCGGCTTCTCCTGACCAAGGCTTTTTTCCTCATCAATAAGATTCGCAACTATATCGATGCCATTATTATACAGTATACGGAGTTGAACAGTATTGTAGGAATAATTGTTGATGTTGGACACCTTGCAATTGGCCAAATGACAGCGAATCGCCTGGGCCGGCAGCTGCTTGATGGCATCCGGTAGGGCGAATATGTTTTCGGTGCCACTCAGATGTAAATGCTCACCATAATCGATTAGGTAGGCATCGTAGCCACCCTCCCCGACCCTGGCATTGACTATGACTCGTGGAATGATATGGTCAATACAGTCATTAACAGCAAAGATGTCCCCGTAATCAGGCATTTGATCCAACTCCCGCAGTGGCACCAGACCCTTGAGCAGTTTCCCCAGCGGCTTAGAGTCCTCATCCCACTTGGCCACATAGAAGCAATTGGTGGCCATATTCAGGTGCATCACGGTGGCTGATACTACAGTGTTTTCGGGAAAAGCGGCTATATTCTTGAAGATCTGCTCGTAGATGCCGTCGCTGGACGTCTGAGTGCCGGATTTGGGTGGCAGCAGGGGTCGCTTGCGAGGTGTCATTGGAAATTTGGGCAACTTAGCTGGGGGAAGTGGTGGAGCCGGCTGTATGGGCATCGACTCGGACGTAGGTTTCTCCGGAGTAGACGTCGTAATCTCCTGAAAAGGAGCCTGCTGCACGGCCTTGGGATTTGGCTTGAGATTCTCGGGAGTAGGCTCAATCACCCAGCTGGAGTGCATGGAGAAGACCAGGCTCTCGGATACCTGATTCGACAAGGAGTTGGATGGTGGTACCTCCACCGCCGCCAGCTTTTGTGTTGACGACAAATCAATGGGCACAAGTTGTTGGGTTGAATCTTCTGACGGCTGCTGCTGGACACTTGGCCGAATTGGCGGCTGTTCATCCTTTTTGTGCTGATCGCCGCTCTCTTTTATGGCGCTTATACCTGAAAGCTTAACGGAATCGCGTCGATACGGTGGCTCCGCCGGCTTTTCGCTCTCGGGGAGCATTCCCCCGCCGGGCCGGTTGAGTTTTATGTACAGGTTCATCTTTATCACGTACGCATTTACCTCGCTGAGACTGCTCAATAGGTGATCGTGCAGCGAAATGAGTCTGCCGTCCACCTTTTCCACGTTCGCCCACCTTTCCGCAAGCACCTGTCGAACGTGGTCTACCTCGCGCTGGTAGGACGTCAAGCTGTCCTGCAGCTTGTGCACATTGTCGTCGCAAAGCTTCATGACCGCCATAAGGTCCTCGAGATCCATTTTAAGTTTAATCAGAATAGAAACACAAGAATGTAAGTTCAAAGAGCTTCGCGGGAAATTCAGTGTGCCCGCCGCTTATTTCAATTATTATACTAAAACGCGCCGCAAAAGTGAAATGAATGATTAATTATTTTTGTGTTTGTGTTAAGAGTCTTTTGTTGCAATTCATAGTCCTAAAATATATTTTAATCGTAAAATTGAATTAAAATCATGAAATAGGACACAATTGAATTGCAAAAACTAATGTCGCATAAGGGTTAAGGTTCGTACCTTTACTTTTTGTTTTAGTATTTTTCTTTCTGCCAACTGGTCACACTTGCATGTTCTTCTTCTTTCTTCCCGCTAGCCGAAAGCATCCCGGCAACAAAAACAACAACAACGTGTTGGACATTCTGAATTCGGAAAATTAATTAGTTTATTCCTGTACAACTTCTACATCCCGGTGGCCAACTAGTAGACACTGCACCTAGCACATCCCTATCAACCACTTGACTCCGAGCCAAAATGAGTGACAGCAGCGTGCCAGTTTTTGTGAGTTTTTTTCGAGGCTCACAAAGTAAACCAACTTAAAATGCTATATTTTTAGGAGCTCGGTGATCCCTTGTCCACGCTTGGGACCAACACGGTGACTGGCGTCTTTGTGCCGGGTAACAAGATCGCCTTAAGCGCCTACCGGCATGTAAAGCACAATTCGCGGGATGAGCCCACCGAGACAGCTGGCGAGGCGCCCGTCCTCATCTACATGACCCAGGAGACAACGCTGTTTGACGAGCCAGTGCTACGCAGTATCCTTGCCGAGGCGAACGCCACCTTTGTCACGCTGCAGCAGCTGGGATTGGAGGCGTCGCGTGCCAAATATGTGAATATTTCACGGGCATACCGCAGCATTGTGCGCGCCTCTCTGGAGAAGCTGCATCTAGCCAAGATGTCACCAGAGGTGCAGACGGATGAGAAGCGGCTGCAGCGCTTCACCGATGCCATCATTGTTTTCTATGCGGCCGAGTGCTTGTGGCATCTCTTTGAGATTCTGTATGTCCAAAACAATCAAATGGTTGTACGCCAACTTCTGGAATGGGCTCGTTTCCATTCCCCGCAAACCGAGGATCGCGCCACCGATCTAGTGCTGATGGAAGAGGAAGCCAGCGAAGCGGATGACTATTGGAGCATCCTCAAGTCGCTGATTCTGTTGGGCCAGGTGGATTTCGTACGGGCCATGCTCTCACAGAATCGCAAGGCTGGACAGCCCGCATTTAGAGCAGCCGAGTTAATCCTGAAGTCCATGCCTGTTTACCAAGAGGGATATGCCCTGCAGAAGTTCAATTCGCAGTGGGAGCACTGGCATGTGGACACCCAGCGCAAGATTACGGCCAATGTGTTTGCCACAGAGCCAGAACTGGAGCAGCTCCTCAAACTGGTTGCGGGCGACAATAAGGAGTGGGATGCCGGCATCATGGAGTCACAGGATTGGTACGAATACCTGCCGGGATATCTGCTGTTTACGAAGCCCACCTGCAAACCCTACGAGCTGCGTATAGCCGCCTCCAATTGGCTGAACCGCTGGACATTGCTGCGCCCGGACAAGCAGCTGACCAATATGAGCCGCATGGTCACCCAGCTGATGGAGCACGACATCAAGTTGTTTATATTCGAGGCCCAGAAGCTGAACGACACGCACTGGTTTTCCACGCATCTTATAGACCTAATCTATCATTCCGGTCAGCTAAAGAGCTACTTTGATCAGCACAACATGTGGGTTTTTCTTTTGGTTTTAATTCATTTAATTTGCTAATTGTTTCATTTGCTTTTATAGCGACCTGCCCGCCCTGCGTCACTCTATGATCTACGAGTACGGCAGCTACCTGATGGGCTCACATAATCTTTGGCAGCTGGGCATCGATTACCTGGACTGCTGCAAGCAAGAGGGCAAGGCCACAATAGAGCTGCTCCTGCCACGCATCCCCATACGCAGCGAACGACTGGCCACCAAGCTCATCAGTCTGGCCAGGCAGCGGGGACTCGTGAGCGTTGAAGAGGAGATATGCAAGGTTCTTGCCAAGCGATCGTACGATAATCAGCGCTACAGCAATGCCCTGGAATGGGCCATACGCTCCAAGGATGTGCGGCTGGTCACAGCGATTGCTGACCATATACTGAAGCATTGCTCGGAGACCGGCAAGCTGCTGTGTGGCGACACCCTGACCTACATAGGAGGTCGTATGTTTGCCTCGCCGCGCCTGGTCTTCCTTACCAAGTACCATGAGTTCCATCAATTCTATCACAACCGTGACTTTCTGGTGGCCTCCGAACTTCTGGTCAATCTATTGGAATCCAAAATAACCCCCAATTAGTGAGTATAAGCAAGTAATCCAGCTGGTAAAAACTAATCATAACTTGTAACACAGCTTTTGGCCCTCGTTGATCATGGATGCCTTGCCGCTGCTTGAGTCCAGGGATCCCAAAATCTTTGCCAAGGAAACGATAACCATTTTGCATCAAATTGAAACGGCGCTGGTGCCGATCATAGAGCAGAACAAGGAGAAGCATGGCCATGTAAGGATAATTATACTTACTATTTCTAATAGTTTATATTCTGAAGCTGTTTTTTTTTTTCCAGGACCACACTGCTGCCTTGTTGAAGGACTATCGGGCGGAAAACATAGCTGATATCATGAACTTCATGCGCCTGGCCTGCGCCCGCAATCTGGCCAGGGCTTTGATCTTTGAGAACACAGTGAAATAGGCTTTTCCTCGTTTATGTTTAGTGTAATTTATTCTTGTATCTTTCACTTTTCCAATACATTGTGTGTAATTTGTTATAGATTGTTTGCATTGCTAACTTGCTGTTTATATGCTTATCTTGTGCCTCTTTGCTATTTTATTGTACCAACAACAATGCTACGTGACTGGCTGCCGTTTGACTAAAAGGAAATCCAAGCTGGAGGGAAGTTCACACAAAAAAAGCAGCTCTCCTCCACAGCATTCTAAACTATATAAGAGTGTAAACGGTGTGTGTGTCTATAGGATACCTTTCTCTGAAATCTCTTCTAGGCTAGGGTCTGGGTCTTCTGGGCTTGGCAAATCATATAACTTAAAACAAGATTAAAATCAATCACTACCAAGTACTTTAGCTGCACAGAGGAGGAAGTTTACACGCCTAAGAACTATATTAAACAACGCACAGAGCACAGGGGATAGTAGTACATACATATATATATATATATATCTGTGGGTATCATATATAATTACTATATATATATATTATTCTGGTTTCTGGTTTTTATCGTTATGAGAATCGCACGGAATTACAATTAAACTCGCATGTCTCTTGGCTTGGCTTGGCCATTACACTCAACCAACTTGGCCGCCAACGGCATTATGTGTTTTGTTTATATATATAAAACGTATCATCATTTTCTTGGTAAAAAAAAAACAAAATACAAACTAAACTAGACTTAGGTCGGTCATCATTCTAATTAATGCCTAACAAACTTTGATCCTACTCCATTTGACATGCCAAATTATTATCATTATATCAATCACACTAGGCAACAGAGAAGGATAACCAAGGCCGACAACATTTTTTAGAAATCTCAGAGCCAAGAACCGGAATGTAACATTTTCCGAGACCGGATTTGAGTTCAGCGCATTAAAAACTATCGGAAAAGTAAATTCCGCTTCTTGGTTCTAAGAGCTGTCGACCTATGTAATGAAACATTTTCAGGGATTACATTAATTCCAATCACGAACTGACATTTCACAGGACTTGGGGAAGAATCTGAACGAAACAGGAGGTTTACAAACTTTAATTTCACTTTTAAAATATGTGTTTTAATATTATTTATCATAGATCTAAAAATCTGCAATATTTCAGAGTGAAATTGAACATTTAACACATTTTTGAAGAGTGAAATTTAATACTAAACTTGGAGAATTCGTAAATAAATAAGGTAGTGGTAGTTTCAGTGAACTTTTATAGACTATCATGAGTTTTAAATAGTTTTTTAGTTTTAATTACATTAATTAGGGTTCAGAATTTCTTCGGAGGATTGGAAGCTATGTATGTGTGTGGCAGTTCGAGATGGAAGACCCTGTTGCCTAGCGCAAGACGACGACTGACTTGAGTATTTCACTTACGTTACGCCAATATATCGATTAAATATGCGGATCTGAGTGGGAGTGAGTGTCTGTCTTCTAATTATGCTTCGCCGTCGCTGCTGCAACAGCAGCTGCGGCCACGCTCGTAGACGCCGTGGCCGTGGTGGTGGCGGTGGCCGCCACTGCTGCTGTGGCAGCCGCGGCTATGGCACTGCTGCTGCCCGTAATGGAGCCCAGCCGGGAGAGCGATGGCTCTCGCTTGGGCGGAACAATCGGCTTGGTCGGTATAGGTGGTGGTGCACCGCGTGCTCCCGCTGGTGGGACCGTGACTGGCGGTACGGCAATGGGCACGGGATGGGGATGCGGTGGTGTTGCCGTCTGGTCGAGAGCAGCTGCCGCAGCTAAAGCGGCATACTTGCCGCCAGGCGCACGTTGAATGGTGGCCGTGGGCTGCATCTTGGCCGGCGAGGGAGAGGGTGGCGCCACCAGGGGAACGGCGATGCTTGCAGCCGTCTCGGCTGCTCCAACATTGCTGCTGCTGCCGCTGCCGCTGCCTGTGCTGTTGGCTGTGGTATTGGTGGTGGTGGTGGTTGAGTGATTGAGGACGGCCGCCGACGCTAGTGGTGCTACGGCAGCCGTGGCCGTGCCCGTGGGAGCTGTGGCAATCCCAGCACTTCGAATGTTCTGGCCCGGCGCTATGGAACGGGCGATACCGGTCTGTGGTCCTGAAACCGGCATACTGCTCACCGTAGCGGTTGGCTGTACGATCTTGGCGATGTTCACCATGGGTGGTGTGGCACAGGCGTCGTCTGCAAAACGCAGAGAGTTGGTATTAGCATTTAGCAGAGGAGGAGGGGCACGAACTACACTCGATCATCGGTTCTCCGAAGGCGAGCTTTGGCCCTGGCATAAGCCAGCATATTAAAGATAAAGGATCAGTGGGTAAAGTGGGCTTCTTGCCAAGGCCAAACTGGGTGTGAAAATGTTTCGGCATGGCTGTGAGATCTGGCTACGTTCTGGCTTTTACTCAGAGTGCTCCAATGGTCTGGGGGAGGTGTGAGCGTGCGGGATGGAGGTGCGGATGCGTGGTCTTTGGACTGGTTAATGGTGCAACAGTGGTGTGCACAAGAAGAAACATCACAAAACAAAAAACAAATCACCTTGCAATTGCGTAACATTTTTTCTAACAAAAGATTTCGGCTTCAAGAGGAGTTCGTAAAAAAAATAAGTAATATATAAGTAAGTATATAGAGTTCAAGTTTGTATATAGAAAATTATAAGAAGGGCAACCATATATATATATGTAGTAGGTACAACAGCCAGTTTCAGAGGTGGGAAGGCTCACTTACCGCTGAACTGTCGTGCCTTGGCGGCGGCAGCGGCCACAGATGAGCCACTGCCCCCCAAAGGCTGCTGTTTCTTCAGGGCCTCGTGCTCGCCGCGCAGCACACTGAGCTCCTGCTCTAGCTCCTTGACGCTGCAAAGCACCAAATTATAGAATAGTTTTTGGGAGTTTTTAGAAACAACCAACCGCATTTCCTCTTTGGCCAACTTGGCCAATAGCGTTTTGCGTTCCAACTCCATGGACTGGGTCTGCTTCTCCAGCTCCTCCTCCATGCGCAGCGACTTTTTGCTCTCCTCCTCCAGGCCCTCGGCTATTGTGTCCGAGCGCTGCTTCTCTTCCGCCAGGATTTGAGCCAAGTCCTCAGAGCGTTTACCTATCATTTAAAGAGATTGTCATTGAAGGAAGAGCAGGTAGGAGGTAGTGCTCGGTATAGACGCACCTTCTTCAATGTACTTCATCAAGATTTTCTTGCGCTCGGCAATCAGCAGCAGAACAATCTGCTTTTGCCTGTTGCGCTCGTACTCAAGCGTCTCCTGCAGCTTCTTCAGATCCTTCTCCATCTTGGCCACCTGGGCCCGCTCCTCCTCGAGGTCCTGCTTCAACTTGGAGCGCTCCATCTCCAGGCCATAGGTTATATCATCGCCCTGCGCCGTATCGTGCTCGTGCTTTCGCTTCTCCTCCTCCAGCTCCTGCAGCATGCGCTGGTTGTTCTCCAGCGATTCGGTCAATATGTTCACCATGCGTACGTGCGTGGCCCGCTGTTTGCTGACCATCTGGTACTGCTGCTCCATTTGCTGCTCTATGATTTGGCGCACCTCCATCTCGGCCTGAGCCGCCTGTGTGGAGGATTCCCGGGAAATGAGATTGCCGTTCAGGGCAATCTTGTCCCGGAATATGGCCGCGTAAGGATCGTTTGGCTGCAGCCTTTTGGTTCGCAGCTGGGCAATGAGCTGCTTCACCCGCTCGTTTCTCAAGGCAGCGATGCAGACATCCCGCGCCTGCAGCTCGCCCTCCAGATAGTAGAGCATCTTCACCAGCTCGCTGTGCGGCAGCTCGGAGCGTGTGCGTCCGTTGCTCGTCGCCGGCGGCAGCTTGTGCACCACACCTGGGCCGGGCTTCATCGTCTGAAACTCATGGTTGGCGCTCACGGTGTCGCTGCCCGAAGCGGATCCCGAGCAGTTCTCAATGCCATACTCTGCCTCCGGCGCAGTGCCAGCCACAAACCGGGATGTGCTAGTGCTACCCTCCTCCGGAAACGTCTCCGCGGTGGCGCTATTGGAGTTCTGCTCCATTCTCCCGTCTCCCCAACACCCGACTCCTCTCTTTGCACCTCACAGCATACACAGCAGCGGTGCGTCGCAGTTCGCTTCTGCTGCTCGCTGTTCGCCGATTGCACAAGATTCGCGGACTTGGCGTAAATTCACTAATAGTTTGGGCCTGGTTCTAGCCACCGATTCAGGCCAGCTTCATTTTCGATATTTGCAGTGACCGGAAGAATTGACTCAAGGAATTCTTTGTTAATTCTCACCGAGAAAAATTACTTTGTGGATACTTTGCGGCGGGACTGCCAACTCGCTGCCAAAGGTGTAGCGCACGGTAGAGCTGGAACAACAATCGGTGCGGTATCGATAGTTGCAACGATAAATATTCGATTTTGTTGTACAGAAACAAACTTTTAAAGTTCGAAATATTTAAACTTTAAGGATTATTTGAAGGTTTAAAAATTAATAATAACAGAATAAACTGTAACAGAATTTGATTTGCAAAAGCCCAGCCATTGTCATATTTCAAAATTCAACGTATTTTTCGTATCATTCTTATCATTTAATATTTAATTAATCTTAATGGTTCTTTAAAAAACATCTCTCTAAAATATATACGAATTAAGTAACAACTTTATATATTTTTATTTTTTAAAAACAAAAGGCTTTGTGGTGTTGTATGCGAGTGAATTTCTAATGTGCTTCCCCACCAACCTATCAGCCTGGGGTATCAAAGCCGGTTCCCGCTTATAAATGCCTGCTGCATGCGGTGTCCACACCCGGAGGCGACATTCGGATTGTCCGGGCAGGAGCAAGCCCATCCAGCCTGCTGAGCTGAGTGTAATATCACAATTTAGCCTTCCTTCGCTTTCGCCTTCGTTTTTCACCACAATATCCCCCTCCTTGCACTGTAATCCTGGCCAGCGTTTCAATCGGGCATCCAAATCCTCCTTGCCGGCCATGGGAAGACCCAGGAAAGGTTTGCCTAGATAGCGCTCGTATACATTGTCCGCCTCCTGGGTGTCTGCTATCAGTATGGGAAGCTGCGCCGAGGCAAACACAAAGATCTTTAGCCAGTCAAACTGCTGCTTGAAGCTTGAGGATATCTCCAGCAGATCCATGCGGGCCAAGCCGCCTAGCAGGATGCTCATTTGGGGACGAAGGCGAAAGGCTCTGGGCCGGATCATTGTTGACGGATGCAGCTTTGTCAGCTCCTCGGGGGTAAGCAGTGGGGTCAATTGATCTGGCTGCATCACACCCGGAGTGTCGTAGACCCAACGCGCCTCCTTATATTCCTTCTGGCGTTCGTTTAGGGTGGTTATGGGGCGCGTGCCACTGGCCATGGCGAAGGCATCGCTGAGGTCGTCGCGACGATCGAAGGTGCGTCCCACGGCCGATGATGGTTGGGCTGCTAGGGCTGCACCCGTTTCCCTGGCCTCTTTTCGACGCATCTGTTCTATAGCGGCCCTTTCACCGCGCTCGGCAACTAATCTCTTAAAACGCATGTAAATACGATCATTGGATGGCCGCAGAATGGGAAACCGCAGCAGTTGGAGCGTGGTTCCCGGCCAGGGACAAGTGGTGGCCTTTCGCACCAGATCACTTGCTTCCGGACGGCAATAATCCGAGTTGAGCAGGATGTTGAATAACGAGCTCTTGCCCACGTTGGTGCAGCCCAGCAAATAGACGTCGCCTTTGTAGGCCCAAGTCTTGTGTAACTGAGTGATCAGCTCTTCGATCCCATAGCCGGTCTTGGCGGAGATTAGGCTGACATTCTTGATGTTCATTCCATCGCCACCGCCGTGCTTGATGAATTCCCGCTGCAGCGATGCCTTCACATGCTGCAGGTAGGTGTTGGAGTCGCGAGGCAGAAGATCTACCTTGTTGCCCACCAGGAAGACGGGTCGTTTGGTGCCCAGCACGTGCTGCATGCCCGGCCAGATGGAGCTGGGGAAGTCCAGGAGATCCACCAACACTATGGCCAGCGCGAACTTGTCCTGAATTCGCGATATCGTGTCCACATAGGTAGAAGGTGCCACCTCCACGTCCAGGGCAATGTTGTAGTGATGCAGGAAATGACAACGCTTGCAGACGATGGTCTTCAGCTCCTCCTGCGTTCTGCCACAAAAGATTTCACTGGGTATATAGCCCGGCAGCGATTCGCTGGAGCAATGCAGGTGGGCGCCGCATCCGCTGCAGGGCACGTTTGAGGCAGGAACTTTGGGATCCGGAGTGCCTTGCTTGTCATCCGTCTCACCCTGGGCACCGCGATAGAACTCGTAGTCGTCCATCCAGTCCACTGGCAGAGGAGAAACCTCAGGAACCGAGAAAGAGGGTTTTGTTTTCATCTCCAGCACGGAGCTGTAATAAACGTGCTCATGCTGTTTGTACCGCTCCTTGGCGAGCAGCCACGCCTTCTGCCTCGAGCTGTGCTTGACATTTGCGATCGTGTTCTGCAGTCTCGCGCATTCTGTACGAACATTTTTATTAATAAATTTATGTAAACGCAAAGTTCGCAACATTTTGTAATAAAATGAAAGAATAAACTCGATTGCGGTATTCGATATGCAGGAAACTTCCGATAGTATCGATAAGATACCGCGAAAACGGGAAAGTTTTTCTTCATAAAACGCTACATTTCTTTACAATACTTAGGATGTAGTTCCATATCCCCTAATATTGAATACTGCGCCCCTGCAATGAAAGTCAAAACCAAAAAATGGAACGTGATAATGATAATATTGTAACAAGGTATTAAAACCAAATCAGGTTAGCATTACTACTTGCACACAGACAAAAGTTGCCTGTCGCGAAACCAAGAAACAGTGCTGGAGAGTGAACCGCGGCGGTGTTGCAAAGCGACGGAAACAAAACGCAAAAGAAACTCATCGGAAAGAGAAAAAAGAAAGCAGCGTTAGCGAGCGAAAGCAAAGGTGAGTCGAGAGTGCGGGATAAAAAAGCGTGTATGTATTAAAACTGAAACAAAAAGATATAGAAAAACGTGTCCACGGCGCAATTAGCGTGCTCCTGCGGCCGGAGCCGTGCCATTTACGCATTGGTAAAAGTACAGAGTGCCGAGCAAAGTAAAATGATTAGGAAAGTGTGGAAAAAAGACACAAGTGTATGTGAACGGCGGCTGTATGTGTGAGTGACGTGACTGTATGCGTGCTGTGCTGCTGCGTGTATATGAAATAAAAAGTAACGCGGAGCGCGACCTAATTTTACAAACATATTACAATAATATTTGCATAAACAAATGCGAAGTAATTAAACGTTGGCCGAACAGGAACACCAAGTACAAAAAGCCCAAGTTGCTCCCGCTGCCGCTGTTGTTGTCGTCGTCGTCTCCGCTGCATGCCACGAAGAGTTGCCGCCGCCATTGTCTAGGCTCTCACACACATTTCCCCGAGTGTAGTTCTTGCCGACATACGGGTTGAGTAATCCAATAACAACAACAACGGCTTCAGCGCGGCGACGGCGGCTCAAATTGTAAGAGTGTTGCAACTTTCGTTCGAACTCGTTTTGAATTGTTGTTGTCGCTCACTCACTCACTTACTCACGGCCTCACTCGCTCCTTTTCGTACATTCTGTTGTTGTCTGGGCGACTTGCCGAAAAAACTGGTTGCATTTAAGAAGCAAATCGGAGAAAAGTACATTCGCTCTATGCAATTTCTTAATGGAGGAAAAATCAATAGCTCGGAAATTAGACAACTATCCACCTCCGCTCTTATTGCCCCGCGACGCGCGCCTCAGAACGAAATGCACTCGGCCTAGAAGAAGCTACAGATAACCCCGGGCGCAAGTGCAAGCGAGATAGTTGCCGCCTGCCCACATCCACAAACACACTCTCGTTCCGTTGAAATTTCCAACGATGTCTGCTCTTCGCCGTCTTCGCCGTTGTTGTTGTAATGTAATTGCGAAATCATAACGGCAGTTGAAAGTTGAGAGCGCTTAGCCAAGTATTCGCGCAAGTGTGTGTGTTTGTGAGTGAGCGACTGCACAAGTTAAGCTCTGGTGAACTCGGAATGCTCTTCTCTCCGCCTACACACAACAGCCGGGCCGCCAGTGTAGCGTATATGTGTGTCGCGTCAACAACAACCATACCGCAAGAGGAAAACACATGTTGTCCGCACAGTGGGATGGAGCGGGTGCAGGCGGAACAGAAATAACTAATGGAAGTGAAGTGCCAATGAGTTGTGATTCCTCAATGCAGCCGCCATCTTGGAGTTGCGCTTGTGAAAACATCAGAATGAATAGCTAAAAATACCCTGCAGCAGCTGCTGCAACAGATAGACATGCAGATCTTTCTGTCGTTCTGAGCCACTGTGCGCGAGCGTGTGAGTGAGAGACTCAAATTCAAATAAGCAAAGCGAATTACTGAAAATGCAGAAATCGCCTTGAAAAGTGAAAGGCATTCGACTGAGCGAGCGCAAGTCTCGCCGTCTTTGATATTATTTTTGCCTTTTTGCTTAACCTTTGCGGGTAGCTAACTCTTTGTTGTGGTTTTTGTTGTTTTTGGCTGGCGCTGGCTCAGCACTTTGACATTTACGAACACACACAGATGCGCCGGGCATTCCAACTGCGAAAAGCCCATTTCCATTACACTGCCGCTGCACATGCGCCCATTGTTTTTATTTTGAGAATATATTTTCGGCTGTGAGTCGTCGACGTTAGGCAGCACTCTTTCGCAATTCTCCTTGGAGCTGCTCTCTCGTAGCTCTGTTGTTAATTTCGCCAAGATTAACGTTGTTTATATTTCCCTTGCAGAGTACAGAAGACAGACTGAATTGAGCCGAACTGTGGATCTAACGGTAAACCTTTCGGCCACGCCTCTAAATTAACACAAGGAGCCCTCTGCCCTGCAATTAATCCCGCAGCGCGCCCCTACCAACCAACACAAGCTTCTTCATGATGTCGTCGGATCAACAGTTCTTTCTGAAATGGAACGATTTTCAAACGAATATGGTGACCTCGTTCCGTCACTTGCGCGACGAGAAGAGCTTCACAGATGTAAGTACTATAGCCTAAAAGCCAGAAAAAGAACCTTCGCGAACCTTCCGATAGGAGAAAATCCCCTTTCAAATAACAAACTAAGTTACAGCCAAACAACGTCGGAAATACACGAGAATTCTCCAATTTGAATATTCTACGTTCTGGTTTTTGATATAAGGTAGTAATTGTTGAAATTTCGACTGTAACTGGCCATTCACGGACGATCTGAATGTGTTGCTCTTGGCCGCGATTAGCTCTTGGCCGCCCCTTTCCGGAGGTCAAACACCAGCTTAGCTGAGCTCTGTCTGTCTGTCTACCTGGCCTCCTCACACTCTTTCATTTCTATCTGCTTTTCTTCTACCTGTTTCCTTTGTTCTTCATGTTCGTGCCGTGCGTTTTTCTTTATAATTTGTTGTTGCTTCTCCGCTCATTGTATGCTTGTTTTTTTTTTTGTTTTTGGGGAAAATGTTGAACGGATTTAAGTGATTTCTCAATGATTTCTTACAGGTAACACTCGCCTGCGAGGGCCAAACCTGCAAAGCACACAAAATGGTGCTTTCCGCTTGCAGTCCCTACTTCAAAGCGCTACTAGAGGTAAGGTTCTATTGCCACCAAAGTAAACTTTAATTAATGCAATTATTTAAAGGAAAACCCATCGAAACACCCGATCATCATCCTGAAAGATGTCTCCTACATTCACCTACAGGCTATACTGGAGTTCATGTACGCCGGCGAGGTGAATGTGTCCCAGGAACAGTTGCCAGCATTTCTTAAGACCGCCGATCGCCTCAAAGTGAAAGGCCTGGCAGAGACACCCAGTTCAATAAAGCGGGAGGGTTGATATTGGTATTAAACAATAAATAAAACAACAAAAAAATACATAAAACACAACAAAAAAAAATGAAACAAAAACAAAAAGGAACTATAAGAAACTTATAATGTATGCAAGAAAACAAAACAACAAAATTCCAACAAGAAAAGAGAAAAAACATAATGAGAACGACATTTGATATACAAGAAATTCATGTAAAAGTACATTAGGAACACACACACAAAGCTGACAGATAGAAATGATTAGCCTGTAAAGAAGCAAAGGCGTTGTTGGCTCCGCCTTTGCCCCACTCATTCACATGACCTTCCTTGCAAAAACCGATGCCCCCACTGAAATTGATTTGAATTTTGTATTCTTTTGATTTCTGCATAAAATAGTTTGTAATATATTATTAACAATTACAAAATAAAATGGACAAAAACACATCCACTCTGTATAAAAGCAACGATTATGGAAAGCCCTGACAAAACAAAGCAAAAAAACAAAACTAGAAAGCGCACTTTTGTAAAGTAATTAAACGAGGATTCATTAAAAGTATATAAAGATAATTATAAATATAGTGTGAAATGTGCAAGTAGAAGGATAAAGAGCCGGACCGGGCGCGAATATTGCAACACATTCGGTTAGTTTATAAGCCACTAACTAACTACGATAACCCCCAGACATGCCACGCCCCCCAGAAACCAACACAGACACACTTAAAACTGCAAACTCATTTTCCAAGCGACACACACACGCATCCCTCATCTACACTTAAAGAATAAACGAATAGAAACAAATGCAAAGTTGTACTTTAATTTTTTGTGTGGACTTTTTCAAAACAACTTTTAATACAAACGAGATATATTTTAATAACAAGCAAGAAAACGATACTTTCTACTTAGTTTAAAACCAAGAAACATAAGGCAGAACGATAGAGCGAGAAATAAAAAGGAAAAGCGAGTAAAAGAAAGGAACTATACTTGAATATTATTACATAAAGTAAAATATTTATATGTATGTATATGTATACATGTGAGCATAGATTTAAAAACTACGGTAAATAAACAGAATAATTAAAAAACAAACTTGTTTTCAATGGAATCTCTCCACATTTATTTCTATGGTACTTCGTAACACACTCATCCATTAGATCTCCCATCGAACTCATCTGCGTGCACAGTAGTTACGATTACAAATTAACAAAAATATGTTCGCTTACAGTATAAGTTACGCTAATATTTGATATATTGCCAGATGTATCTATCGCTGACGCTGTGGACTCGGGATCTAGGTTCACATTGCGCTACAGTTCTTAGTTGTTGAAACAGTACGCGTTGCGCGTATTCAGTTCGAATGGATCGGTCCGCATCTTCTGCTGATTATCCTCCACATATCGCGTCACATCCGCCACCAGATTGGGCCGCTCCTCGGCACTGGCGGCGCACGGTGACCAGATCTTGATGTCATGATCGATCCCACTGGTGGCCACCATGCAGATGCTCGGATGCGGTTGCACGCAATTGACAATGGCGCTGTCGGCCCGATAAACGGCCCGGATTTTGCCCGTATCGCCCTCCCAAATGTAGAAGTTGCCATCATCTGAGCCGGCGGCAATGAACTCACCCTGGCTGCCAAGATAGTTGGCCTCCTTGATGTCCGTTGTGATGTTACAATGGCCCACATACCGCTGCATATAGTCCCTGGCCGTTGAGCGGAGATCGTATTCGGCGTCTGAGATACGCATATAGCGGAAGCCATCCTCCATGGCCACGGGCTCGGTGTTCTGTAACTGCCGTCGGTTCTCCTTGATGTCCTTGTTCAGTGTCAGCACGCCGTGATTGTTGGCAAAGCTGGGAAACCGGTGGATTAAGTCCTGCAGGCAATCGTTCGCGTCATAGGGACGATGCAGCTCCAGCAGAGCCCTGGCCAGACGGAAGTGAGCCTTTACATAGCCTGGATCCAGGCGCAGGGCCTCATGACAATCCCTCACAGCTGCATATATATCACCGAACCAGCCGCGTCGCATCAGAGCCGTGGCTCTGTTTAGATACAACACCTCTCCCTGCGGGTACTTGGCCAAGGCGGCAGAGTACGCATCGATGGCGGCCACTAACTTGCCGTTCTCCAGGAACTCGTTGCCCTGCTTCTTGAGCACCTCTATGCTGGACGGCAGGCGGCGGCTCCTGTGGGGCGTCTTCACCTGCTCCACCTCCACTTCCTCGTCGAGCGATGTGAAGTCAAGTGGTTCGTAGAAAACCGGAGGCGCGGCACTGTTCAGATCGTAGCGGTAGATGTGCTCGCAGCCCATGTTGACCAGGAGCTCCGTGCCGTTGCCATTGAAGGTGAGATAAGTAATGGCCCGGGACTCGTGGACAATGGACCGGGTGACGTTCTTCACAATCTGCCCGGGAGCGTAGTAGGCCACACAAGCCGAGAGATCTGAAAGAGGTTAACGAATGAGAAACCAGGGTATATCTAGGATCAGCTAGCTTTGGCTTAACACCCACCATTCCCGCTGCTGGAGGGCAGCTTGCGCCTATCGTAGATACGTGCAAAGGGGTCATTGGCACCCACGGCCAAGTATTCTGTCCGCATAGGATTAATGGCTAGGCACTTGGCCTCCGTGGTTCCGTCCACCTGATTGCCCAGTCGAAGGAGCCGCACACCATTGCCATCCTCCGGACGACAGTGGTGGGGCTCTCGCATGTCCAGCTGCAGGATGCACCCATCCTCGCCCGCCGACCAGAAGATGTAGGGCGAGTCCTGGACCGTGGCCAGACGCTTGGCCCGCATCAGGTGGCAGTTGCAGGAGAAGAGCGTTTCGTTAGAGTGATTGATGTCATAGACGTAAATGAACTTGTCCGCCGCACACGTCGCCACGATGTTATTGTTGTGCTTGGGCAGGAACTTCACCGAGAACATGTTTCCCAGGTGCTTTGTGGCGATCACATGGACGCGCTTCTTCCGGAACGGATCCCAGATCATCACACGAAAGTCATCGGAACCGGAGGCCAGCCAGAGCCCGTCCGTCGACCATTCCAGGCAATTGACGCATCCCTCATGGCCAGCGAGCAGCGCCTCCTGCTCCAACCTGTCCACGTAGGCGGGTGAGGCCAGGAGACGCCGGCGGAGCAGCTCGTCCAGCTCGTAGCCATACTGCTGCCGCTGCCAGTGCAGCGCGGAGGTGTTCAAGGGCGTTTGCTGGCGCTGATGGCGCGAACTAGAGTACTTTTCGCGATACAGTTCATCGCTCGACATTATCTCCGAGTTCTCTGGATAGGATTATGACACTTGTTTTTGTTTGTTTTCCTCTCGCTATCCGCTTAATTCATTTTGGATTCGCACAGTCCCCCCCGTTCCCCGACGACAGTTGTTGACACCTGGGCGCGGCGTTGCCAGATGGTCGCGCCCCCGCTTACGGCTGCCGAAGAATCCCCTGCACGTAATTGAAATTTATCGAAATCGAATCGATTGTCCGCCGATCAAATATGATATTTTCTAAAAAAGCATTCAAATATTGAAGTTTAAACTTTTTAGGAACAGCCTCAAGTATGATTTATTATTTAGAATTGGCTCAGTCCATGGCAATTAATCCAATAAGAACAGGCCTTGAACTTCTCACAATCCTATTACACTCAAAGCAAAGCCTTGTAGATTGGAATAAATCATTAAAAATGTATGTTAAAAATTAAAATGTATGTCAAATTACCGTTAATTTTATGTATATACAAATTTCGATTTCTGCAATCGATTGTTGCCAACTGCGATGCCATCGAAAGACTGCCATCGGTGTTTTGCCACCTCTAATAAACTAAAGAAAACGAAAAAGATTGATTAATTTCGGACGACGCGACGGGGCAGAAAAGTGACATGTCCAACGAAAAAGAGGACGAGTGCGACAAGCACAAGCAGCAGGCGGAGGCGGAAGCCAAGTCGACGTCCAGTGATGATTCAGACGAATATCAGTCAGCCGGTGAGGGCGAGGATGGCGAAGGTGTCGACGGTGATCCCCCTGCGGAGCGCCCGCCGACGCACGCACACCTGTGCGCGGCAGCAACCACACCTGCGGCGGCCAGCGATAGCACCACTACCACAACCACTACACCAACAGCAGCAGCAGCAGCGGCGGCACCTCCCTTGGTCACAGTAAACGAGCCCTTGGATTATCCGATGCATCAGAGCGTGTTCGAGGACGACATCAAGTCGCTGCAACGGCGCCTGCTAATGAGTACGGCCCAGGACGAGGTGGGGCGAAAGGACAAGCACGGTAACACACCGCTCCACCTCGCCGTGATGCTGGGCAGGAAGCATGCCGTGCGCCTGCTACTGGCCCACAACGCCCCCGTGAAGATCAAGAACAATGAGGGCTGGTCCCCGCTGTCCGAGGCCATTAGCTACGGCGACCGCCAGACCATTACCCAGGTGCTGCGCATGCTCAAGCTGCAGTCCCGCGAACACATGGAGGGTCGCCGGGAGAAGCTGGTCAATGCGCTGCGCCAGATACAGGACTTCTACATGGAGTTCAAGTGGGACTTTCAATCCTGGCTGCCGCTCGTTTCACGCATCCTGCCCTCGGACATCTGCCGGCTGTACAAGTCGGGCGCCTCGATACGCCTGGACACGACGCTGGTGGACTTTAACGATATGCGTTGGGAGCGCGGCGACATATCGTTCCTGTTCCGCGGCGAGGCGCCGCCTAGGGACTCGCTGGTGCTGCTGGACAACGAGCAGGAGTGTTTCCAGCGGCTGCGTTACGAGGAGGCCGACATGGAGGACGAGGTCGATGTCCTCATGTCCACCGACATCCTGGCCACGCAGATGTCCACCAAGACGATACAGTTTGCGCGGGCGCAGCGTGGCTGGATATTCCGTGCGAATCGCAAGGAACTGATTGGCGGGCAGTATCAGTGCGAGATCTACACAATCCAGGGTCTGATCCTCAAGCAGCGCAAGCGACGTGAACACCTCTCCCACGAGGATCTGCAAAAGAATCGCGCCATTGTCGAGACAATCACGAAGGGCGGCCCCAGTGCCAATCATCAACCGGATGGTCGGCGCTCCAGCCTCAATAGCCAACACACGGCCACGCCGCCCGAGACCAATACGCCGACGGCACCGAATGGCATCACACTGCCGGAGCTGCCGCGTCGCAGTTCGCTCCAGGCACCGCCCGCCACCACGGTCACCTGGCAGCAGTATTTGGACGCGGAGGTGGGCAAGTGTCCGCAGCTGGGAAGGCCACCCGTTCACAAGCAGTCGAACAAGACGCTGCGTGCCACGGTGGCGATGAGCAAGGACTTTCCCCTCAGCGTGGATATGCTACTAGACGTTCTGGAGGTGGTGGCTCCCTTGAAGCACATCAACAAGCTGCGCGAGTTTGTTACGCTCAAGCTGCCGACGGGTTTTCCGGTGAAGATCGAGATCCCAGTGCTGCACACGGTCACCGCCAAGGTAACGTTCCAAAAATTCGAGTTTCGCGACAACATCCCCGCCAAGATGTTCCAGATACCGTCGCACTACTGGGAGGATGTGCGACGCTTTCAGGACTTATGACCAGGAGACGGTGAAGCCGCCGCCCCACCCAAGGCCAAAGCCTCATCCTCCTCATCCGGATCGAGCATTCATGTCGACTTGAATCGCAATGCGCCGCCGTCACCCTCCATTGCGGAGTTCGATTGAAGGGAAGTTGGCCCCGAATTTCTGCCTGCCTCTGCCCCCCGCCCTCTAAATTGTGTCGCTCGTGGGAGTGGAGTGAAATCTGCTCCAGCGAGCCCTGTGTTTTGTGTATGTATATGTTTAAGAGGAAACCCCCAAAAAACAAAAACAAAAATTGCAATTTTCAAAGGGTATTTATTTTAGACCAAAAAAAGAGTAGAGAATCAATTTGCTTTGCTGCAGATGTTTTTTAATTCAAATGTGACACGGTCTGGAAATTGCAATTTAAGCTTAATTTTCTTGTTGTATGTATATGTAATTGTATTTGTTTATAACTGGTAGCATGCCCCGTGCATCCCCAGGGGTATTATTACGTATTATTTCATAGTATTTATTTGTTAAGAGGCATAAATCACACACTTTGCGGAATAAGTAAGGTCTTCTCGGTAGAACAGCTGCCCCGACAGCCAGAACGTTCTTCTGCCCCGATTATGGCCGGTAATCGTGGCTAAAATAAATGTCCAATGAAGAAGAAGGCCAGCGATATGACACACACACAAAAAATAAAAAGGAAAAACATAACACAATCAAAAGGTAGTTAGTCGAATGATCCGATAATGCTGGCCACAAGAATCAGATTATTTCCACCCACTAACACATAACACACCCCGTTTATCATCGTATTTATATTGAGTACATCCCTTTCCGTGTTTTGTGCAATTTTCATATGTATTTTTAAGGTAAACTAAGCTTGCCGGAAGTCTTATTTTCGGCGCCAGTTCACACACGTCCCTAAAAAATAGTCTCTCTCTCACTGTATGCCGCGCTTGTTTCCTACACCAATGATTTCCTAATAGACTAGAGGTACTTTAATTCAAAGGGCGCAAAAGTAAAACAGCTTCACAAATAAATTAATAACAAATATGTATACATTTAGCTCGATTTTAGCCAATTATTTAGAGCGTAAAATAGCGCCCAAAGCAGAGATGTGCTTTGCTGTGATTAGCCTCCCCGAACCCCATATATATTCACAATTGTTTACTTAGCCCTTGGCCAGACCAGCATTAATTGTGTATTTATGTACAAAACTGCCATGTATTTTGTTTCTTTCGGGCACAACTTAAGTTCTTTGTGTAGAATTTCATACAATAAACTAGAAATCGAAAGTCCCATAATTCCTATATATATATAGATATTTTTAGTAATCAGCGTAATCCTAGATCCGACATAAACACAAATCCTCACAAGAAATCTGCTAAGCAACGGATGGATATATAAACAAAATCGATACTATATACATATATATATTTTACTAGTTAAGGGCAAAATCGATTGAAATATAATATATATATTTATACATGGCCACCACCCTAAATGTAATTGAACCCTGAGCATTTGTATGAGCTCTAAAAAATAAATATATATACACACACACATCCTGCTGTAAAATGTGCAACCCAAGAACTTGAATGTTTTTCATTTTGTAAACAAAGCGGGAGGAATCAATTTCAAAAGGCGCGCCCACTTCTAAGGGGCCTTGTGCAACACTGGATTGTGCGTGGGTGTCATCTTACTTGGTGCGTTGGCCAACACTACTGTTCGCATAAACAGCTGCTTGACTCACAGAATCTGGCAAATCTTCGCACAAATTGCGACAAAGTTTTGTTTAAAATCGTATTGAGAGCCCGTATTACCGCCCCAAGATGATTGTCTCCCGTCTGGTCCTTCCACTCAACATGGCTCTGCATCGGATCTCACGCACGGTGTCGGAGAAGCCCCGAAGCCTCAACATCCTGCGTCGTCACATGTCGAGCGTCTATTACCGCAGCGGAGCCATTCGGCCCAAGCCAGAAGAGATGCCATTCGGTCTGCTGGCCATCTTGTGTGCCGTCATACCGGGTCTCTTTGTGGGTGCAACCATTAGCAAGAACGTGGCCAACTTCCTGGAGGAGAACGATCTCTTTGTGCCCTCGGATGATGACGATGACGAGGACTAAGAAGCCCCCGCGCTCAACCTTGATGTGAAAGGGGGAGTGGAGTGCATCCTAGTCGGACTGAATGTGTGGGCTTGTAACGGAGAACTTCAAACAAGCGGCCAAAAGTCTATTTATCTATTTATTAGCCACCAATTTTGCAATGTAAATCTCTACTCTTAAGACCGTAAATGTTCTTGCATTTCATGTGTGCTTTTTTCCCGCTTTGATACTTTTGTTTTAACGATTTTTCAAGAACGTTATCCTCAAGCTCGATGATAAGCTGACGAATGTTAGTAGAATTAAATAAAGTTTACTTGATTATGCTAAATGCGTTTGCTTTGAGTCTTTCAATTATATAATTTCTGCCCAGCTGGTCAGATTTATATATGTATCTTTTAAATACATAGAAACTACAAGATATATATCTGCTTATATTTTAAACAAATTTAAAAGCAATGTTTTATATATCTAATTATCTTGGAATATTTTTAAGACCAGATTTGGATCTTCCAAGTATATAGAAACAACAAGATATATATCTGCTAATATCTTAAAAACATTTCAAACAAGTTAAAAGCAATGTTGGTTATTGAAATTGTGTTTAAATGAGATTTAAGGATCCTATAAAATATATGCGTATATTTGTCTTTTAATTGTGTTTAAATGAGATTTAAGGATCCTATAAAATATATGCGTATATTTGTCTTTTAATTAACCAACTTCCAATATATGATATAAGAACAAAACTTTAAAAAACTGTAAACCCCGTTTTCTATAAATTACCCCCCAAAACAAAGACTTTCATTTGCCGAAGTGGAATTTCTTTTATTGTAATTAAATTTGTTGGGTGTACAAAGGTATGCTGCGCTGCTGCTGCTTTACATTGAGTTGACGTTCAATCTCTCTGCGTTTCATTACAATTTATTCAAATGGTTTTAGTTGGGTTTTTTTTTTGCTTCAAAGATGCGCAATCATCAAATTTCAACAATCCTATTTGTTTTAATCGTACAAATTATGTTCTTTATATCGCTTTAATATATAAGTATACATATATAGTATATCTGCTATATATTTACGTGTGTGGTTGTTGTTGTTGTGTTGACCTGCGTAAATAGTTTTTGTGAAAAGTAAAATTGGAATTGCCTCAAATCTTCGGTAAATCTCGCAATATATCCCTTGAATATATTCCAATTCGGGTTTTGGTTATGTTTTTTCCTTTTTATATATTTTTTCTCTCATTGTTTCATGGTTTTTTGTTGGTTTCTGTTTGAGTTTTTTTTTTAATATTTTGCATTTTTTGCATATAAATGGTTTTGTATGTTTTGCAATTTTTTCAAAGATTTTTTGTTTGTTTATTCTTTATTAGATTTTCATTTTGTGTTTAATAAAAAAATATGAATTTCACACTGCCCCGACCGGCGACGTCGGCGACCTATACTTCCTTGTTTTCTTTTTTTAAGATTTTATCGTATGTGTATGTGTGTGTGTTTATGGTGTGTAAAAACATTGTTTATTTGTTGTATTCTCGATTCTCTTTGTAACAGAAGTCAAGGAACGCAAATAAAATTGCTTTACAAGTTAATTCTTTAAATATAAATATATATAGATTTCTGCAAAGTGTAATAATGGTTGTTTGAATTTAAATATTTCCTTCTTCCACACTCTCCTGTTGTTGGATAATAATAGTATAAACATAAAAATCCTGCTTGCAATTCGCCGCTCATCTCTCTGCTTTTCATAAGTTTACGCTTTAGCGTTTTTCTCTTCCTTTTTGTATTTTTCATATATGTTGTTGTTTGTTGTAATATGTGTGTGTGTGTTGGTTGGTTGTGTGTAATATAGTTGTTCATTTTTTTACATTGTTTTTACATTGATTTTGCAATTTTTTTTGTTTTTTTTTTATTTGTTTTTGTTTTCATTTAGCAACATCATGGTTTTTACACATGGTTCTTCTGCTGTTGGTTTTCCCTTTTTTGTATTTTCTTCTTTTCTTTTTTCTCAAAGTAGCAAAAACTTGACTCTCATATTCTTGCGGTTTTATATTTATCTTTTCCTCATCTTTTCTTCTCTCATATTTATCTGCACAGTTTGCTTTTACATTTTTTCGTTTTTATTTTAACTTTTTTGCAATTTTTTTGTTTTGTTTTCTTTGCTTTTTTAAAAGTGTGTTGGTGTTGTGGTTGTCGCGTTTCTTTCTTCTTGGAGAAAATGGGACTTTAAAAAATTACATTTCGCTTTCGTGTTGTTGTTGTAGTAGGAAAAAAAGTGTACGAAAAACTCATTCTGTTTCTAGAAACGCGTGTCGTTGACATTTTCCAAATACAATTTCATTTCAGTTAATGCCTGAAAGCGTTCCCACTACATTTATGCTTTTCGATCTATTTATTCTGCAAGGGATTTTCAGTTATACAAAATAAAGTTGAATCGGTTTCAAGCAGGAAACATCTTTCCGCTTTTCTCTCGCAAATGAAGCTCGGTTCTGTATAAAAGAATTCTTGCCTTCTTGATTACTTTCATTCCTCCTTTGCTTGATGTGTGTACTTGCGTAAATGCGTTCGAAATTAAATGATTGAAATTGTTTTTGCTGGTGTCTTCTAGGATTTTAAATGAAAAAAGCCAGAGTTCGTTCGTTTCTCTGGTGTTGTGTGGCGTTCCTTCTATGCACGCACCACTACTGCCATCAGCAGTAGTGAATGCGTTGTGAATTGTTCTTGTTAATGAATTGAAAGTGAAGAGGAAAAACTGCGGGGATAAAATAGATTCAAAATTAGAAATTGGCTTCTTTAAAGGGGATCATCAGTACGTACTTTTTGGATGTCGAGTGTTCTTGTACAATTTTCATCCGCTTGCTTGTGTTGTTTGTTGTTGTTGTTGTTGTTCGAGCTTAGTTGGCAGGCTCGGTGACGCGATGCACCTGAAGCACCGCCACCGCCTCCTCCACCTTGGCCTTGAGCGCCTCCTGATCCTCGAGCATGTGCAACAGCTCGGAGTTCTCGATCTCCAGCAACATGCCAGTGATCTTTCCAGCCAAAGCCGCGTGCATGCGCTCAATCAACGGGTACAGACGCTCGCCGAGGATCTGTTTCTGCTCCTGCGGCTTGGCATTGGCCAGCAACGAGGCAATGAGCTTCTCGGAGTCTGCAATGCGAAATGGTTAGTAAAATCTCCAATTGGACGTCGCAAAACACTTACTCTTTCCTTGCAACTGCTGTGGCATTGGCTGAGCCTGCTGCAACTGCTGCACTGGGGGATTGCGCATGTTCGAGGTGTACTTGTAGTTGGAAGCACGCTGCTGGGCGCCGCCAGGGATCTGGGCGCCTGCAATCTGCAAGTTCGGGGCAGCCACAGTCTGCTGGCCTGTGATGGCCCGGGCACCTGTGTTGCGCATATTGTTAGCCGCGGCAGCGGCGGCAGCAGCGGCGGCGTGCGTGCCCTGCACCTGCTGGGGCTGGGCACCGCGTGCTCCGGCAGCAGCCGAGCGGTACTGTGTGGGAACCGCTCCGGCTGCGCCCTGGAAGCCTCCAGCAGCGGCGGCGGCAGCGCCGGCCTGCACGTTCTGCACCGCGGCGGCGGGACGTACCTGGGGCGCCCAGCGAGGTGTGTTTCTCATCTGGGTGGCCATCTGTGGACCGAAGAACCGCTGGCTCGGCGGAATGGTCGGCACAAAGAAGCCGCCAGTTGTGTTAGGCGGGAAGATCTGTCCCAGCTGCTGCATGCGCATGCCGGTCATGTGACGCATGTATTGCGAGGCGAGGTGAGCCTTGCGCTCCTCCTTCCTCTGTGCCAGAGCCACGTACAATGGCTTGCTGCCAACGACCCGACCGTTAAGTTCGGTAACGGCGCAGGTGGCCTCGTTGGGCGAGATGAAGCACACGAAACCGAATCCCTTGGAGCGACCCTCCTCATCAGTCATGACCTTGGCCGATGTGATGGTGCCGTACAGCGAGAACTCCTTGCGGAGACGCTCGTCGTCGATTGAATCGTCCAGATTCTTCACGTACAGGTTGACACCGAATACGGACTCGTGGCGCTTCTTCTTGAGTTCCTCGAATTTGCGTTTCAGCTCCTGCTGGCGCTCGGCCTTCTTTTGGGCACGGGCCACATACAGGGACTTGCCCTCACCCATGTCCTTGCCGTTAAGGGCCTGAACGGCGGCCTCGGCAGCCTCTGTGGTTTCAAAGGCAACGAAGCCGAAGCCCTTGCTCTTGCCATCCTCCTTAGACATGACCTAAAAGTCGGATTTTACTTGTATAACAATGCCAACTAGTTATTTCAATAATTTTTTGCTTACCTTGTAGCTGGTGATCTTGCCATAGGGCTCAAAGAACTCCTTGAGCTTCTCGTCATCAAACTCCTCGGTGAAATTCTTCACGTAGACGTTGGTGAAGAGCTTAGCCTTCTCGCCCAGCTCCTTCTCGCGCTCCTTGCGGGGAATGAACTTGCCCACGTACACCTTCTTGCCATTGAGCAACATGCCGTTCACTTTGTCGATGGACGTGTTGGCGGCCTCCTCGGTTTCGAAGTGAACGAAGCCATAGCCTTTGGAATTGCCCTTCTCATCGGTGGCGACCTTGCAGCTTAGGATGTTGCCGAAGGCGGAGAAAGTGTCGTAGATGGCCTTATTGTCGATGGCCTTGTCCAGGTTCTTGATGAACACATTGCCGACGCCGGAGCGGCGCAGTGAGGGATCGCGCTGCGACCACATAATGCGAATGGGCTTGTTGCGGATCAGGTCAAAGTTCATCGTGTCCAAAGCACGCTCAGCTGAGAAAGAAAAGGAAAACGGTTTAATACGTTGTATAACTTTTATTTAAAGTAATTATAAATAAGCATCATAAATTGACATACTGTGACTCTTCTACTTCTGCACTGGCCATAAGCCCAAGAGGCAGCCAAGTGCATGGTAAGTCGAGCCTGGTCTTTCATTTAGCAAACTTTGAATCTTAGTCGTGTCAAAAATGATTAAATTTGACCAACCAATGGGTAGAAGTTGCCGATTATTTGAATATCTCAGGGGTTTTAATCGTTTTCTAAATAAACTACTAAAAGAAGCTATTAGTAATTCGATTGTAATGCTTCTACTTCTGTAAATGGTATAAGGAAGTCCATTGACATGGTAAGTTACTTAGTTTTTATGGCAACTTTGAATCTTAGTCGTATCAAAAAGAGGTAAATTTGACCAACCAATGGGTAGAAGTTGCTAATAGGACTTATTAAGGGGACTTATCCGTCTTCAAAGCTAATATTTCAGTAGATTCAGGTCACAATAATGGATTGTCATGCTTCTACTTCTGCAGATGATACGCCAAAACCATCGGCATGGTAAGTTACATAGTTATTATGGCAACTTTGAATCTTAGTCGTATCAAAAAGAGGTAAATTTGACCAACCAATGGGTAGAAGTTGCTAATAGGACTTGTTAAGGGGACTTATCCGTCTTCAAAGCTAATATTTCAGTAGATTCAGGTCACAATAATGGATTGTCATGCTTCTACTTCTGCAGATGATACGCCAAAACCATCGGCATGGTAAGTTACATAGTTATTATGGCAACTTTGAATCTTAGTCGTATCAAAAAGAGGTAAATTTGACCAACCAATGGGTAGAAGTTGCTAATAGGACATATTAAGGGGAATTATCAGTCTTCTAAGCTAATATTTCAGTATATACAGGTCAGAATAATGGATTGTCATGCTTCTACTTTTGCAGATGATACGCCAAAACCATCGGCATGGTAAGTCACATAGTTTTTATGGCAGTTTTGAATCTTAGTCGTATCAAAATAGGTACAAATTGACCAACCAATGGGTAGAAGTTGCTAATAAGACTGATCCTAGTCAATAAAGCTAATAGTTCTGAAAAGAATACATTGTATTCTGTTAGTTACTGTTTAATGGAAGTATTATGGGTTGTCATGTTTATATTTCTGCAGATGATACGCGACAACCATCGGCATGATTTGGAACATGGTTTCCTCTTGCAACTTTAATTCTTAGTCGGATCAAGAGAAATGAAATTGACCAACCAATGAGAAGTTGCTTATACTTGTACGTATCTGTTAACTAAAAATCTTAGCTGGTAAAACCCATGGTCATGCCTCGCCCTAACCTCAAAAAGCCAAAGTTCACTAAACTTGGCGGAATGCTGAAACGATGAAAATGCGCCACTGGAATGCCTACGATGGCAGGCTTTCACGCGCAGCGTAATCAGTCGTCGCCAGCGCATCAGCTTTTGTGCCATTGTACGCTTAATTCAATAAACAAATGTAACGACAGCAACAACAGCTCGAAACTGAAGAAGCGAAGAAGCTGAAACTATGCGGACAGTGAAAGTTTGTTTTCGTTTTTTGTGTAAAACAAGATTTCGACGGGGCGAAAGAGAGGGAAAGGCAGAAAGAGAGTTCACTGACATGTCAAGAATTTGGAAGTGTTAATGAATGGTAGGGAGAGCAGTGGCGCGAGAAAGTGAAAGCAAAACAAAGGTAAAACGGCGTGCAGAAATTTAGTTAATGGAATAATATAACCTAAAATAGATGGAGGCCAAGAGAAATGGCTAAAAACAATGAACACATGTTCGGCGCACGCACGCAACAACAACGCACATTATTCACAAATCTGTAATTGTGTGTGTGCAAACGTCGCCGCTTGGAAACAACACAAACAGGAGGAGAGGAGAAGAGAGGAGAAAAAAACCCAAATGGGCAATGAAACAACGAAGACGCAACTAATGGGCGGGGTTGCGATAAGCTATGGTGCCAGTGCGGGGAGCCATTTTATTCCATCATAATTGCAATTTTGCTCGAAAGCAAGACGGAAATTTCTAGGCGAACTGTTGTTGAGTGGCAGAAGCCAGCTGTTTTGCAGTCTCCTCTTCCTTCTTCTGCCCCTTTTGTCGCCCGCTTCCCACATACAGTAACTGGAATTGATATATACACATACTGATACACGCACGCATACAGGGGCAGGCGAGAAGATTAACGTAAGCAGGCAATGCATGGTGGTACGAGTTATGAAATAGTTTGAAGCAGTTTATCTGGCATTTCAGGTCCTCCTCCCCGTTAAACCATCTTTGCATTAATTGGGCTTTTTACGGACTTTTGACGGTGGTTTTTACCACTGTGCCGAGCAGCATATCGGCATGCGGCTGCATGAGTGTGTGTGCGAGCGAGTGCGAAAACTGCACACGTGTTTTCTTTGTTTCGCGCGGGAGGGTGACTATTGCAGGGTGCATTTAACACGTATTGTTCTACTGCCTTTGCGGCTCTTGCGGATCAGGATTACTCACCATCGGCTGGCTGCTGGAAGTTGACGTAGGCATAGCCCAACGAGCGACGGGTAATCACATCGCGGCAGACACGAATGGACAGCACTGGACCAGCAGACGAGAACTTCTCAAAAAGTCCCGCTTCGTTGATATCCTGGTGGAGATCACCGACGTATAGAGAAGCCATATTTGGTGATCAGGTCTACCTGCAATTTAAAATGATTAATTCCGGCTCCTTCGCACGTAAATTCCACATTTTCACAAATTTCTACGGACCGGATGGATTCGGCCAGGCAGGCGGTGAAATAGAAAGAAAAAAAGCGGCGTGGCTTTTGCTCTTCTATTCGTCTTTCTGTCTGTGTGTCTGTGTGGCAACTCTGCATGTGACAGTCGGTCGACATGGCAACTCCGCATGTGCTTTGTTGTTGCTGACCAGCTCGGGGCGCTCTCACCCATACAGGCAAGCGTTGCTCGTGTTGGAAAATTTCCACACACACATACACAAAGATAGACACGCGTTGCCTTCTTAAAATTATGGGAATTCCTCAAATTCAGCGAAAATACACAATCGATGGATCTTTCCTCGCGATTCTGCGAAAAAGTTTAAGCTTTTACGACGCCATCTTGGCCTGATGACACCGTCAAACGAGACGAAATTCGCGAGAAAAATTCCACAATCGCTCTTGTCTCGCGTCGCTCCCCCCGCTCTGCTGCAGACACTCCACACGATGTACTTACTTTTCAAACACTTGCTCGAATTTTTTGCTACTTTTTACAATTTTTTTTGTTGCGTTTTTGTATTTTTAATATTTTTTTTTATTTTTTATATATTTTTTCTTCACAAAAAATATGTGATAAGCCGTGTGCTGAAAGCGAATCCACGACCGCTCACTTAAACGGACTCTACACGACTCAGTGTTGCCAAGTGGCGAACTTTAGAGCTGGGAAACTATCGATGGTATGAAATTTAGTAAGAAAAATGCAAACAAATATATATATGTATATATATCTTTCTTTTTATAATAAAAATGTATTCTAAATTAACTTAAATTGGAGTTGGTGGTGAAAAATATTAACTGAATCTCAAAAGAAAGGGTGCGTCTACGCCACATCTTCATAGTCTAAGCGTATGTTTAGCAATGGTAATACAATTTTATTTGTGCAAAGTTGCTTGGATAGAATATTTATGTTAATTACTTAGTCAAAACTTATGGCATTCTTTTTAAACTCTTGAATAGTATTATAATTCTATTTGAAATTGCTATAACTTTAATTTGCAAAAAGAATAGTAAAAAAACGATACTATCGATAGTATCGAATTTTCGTTTTCAAAACATCGAAAATATCGAATGGTGCCACTATTGATAGATTCCCAGCTCTACCGAACTTGTCGAGGCTGCGTGCAGTGCTGCCAGAGCGCGCAAAACATACTAAAACGCGCTGGCGGAGAAATAACACGAAGCTGAAATTGGACTTAAAGCTGCGATTAGAGCTGCTTGCCATTGCAGACTTTAAAGATTTCCCCTTTGTTTGTTTTCCACAATTTTAAGCTTTTGTTTGGGCAAAAACAATACTCAGCCACCATATCTGTTTCGTGGGGGAAATTAGTCTGGCAGCCTTTTCCCAACTGCAAAGTTTTTAAAATATCTTCAACCAAGTAGTCATTCAACATTTAAAGGCCAATAAAAAAATAATTTGCCTAAATGTGAAATTAAAATTTGTCATAAAAATGGCTTTGAATTTCTTTTCCATATTTCTTCGATCTCTATAAGATTTTCTAATTTATTTAATTTTAATCAAACTGTCAAGGAAAATTACAGATATTTAAATATTAATAATTAAAATCTGTACTTTTTGAACATGAAAATGCCTAATCAGCCGAAATACATTTCCAGATCTGTAGCATTTTGACACTACAAAATAAAACCGAATCTGCAAAAATTGCGTCTTATTTTACATTTATAGGATTTTCCCCAGATATTTATGACCTAAGTCCTTTTTGTCAACTTACCCAGTTTCCAGAAAACGTGTTCTTCGCCAAAGGATTTTAAAAAATTGTTTATCAAGTATTGAAACCGGCAGATGTTTTCTTTTTACGATTTTTGTAAGGGTTTTCTACGAAATAAACAACACTCAACACTAATCCGTCAACGACCGAGTGTATTTAATACATTAAAGTTTTTTTTTGTTGTATCTCCGGCAATAAACCTTTTATATTTTTTTTGTCCTGTTCTGAGCGAAGGTTGCGTGCGTCCTATCTGGCATTCCGAGACCTAATGAAGCGGCGCAGCAGCACCTGACAGCCTCCAAACCGAGCTGTCACTGGGCGGCCTGCCTACTAAGTTTCCCAATGGAAAATCCCAGGCAGCGTAAAAGTCACAGCAATTGCAGCATTTTCAAAACATTTATTTGGACATTAAATATGTTTATATACTAACTCGTCAGCTTGAGATTTTATTTTGCGTTCAACTCAATTTTGATTTCCAATACTTAAACGTAGAATGAATAATTGCTTACCTTGTCAGAGGGTGAATCCTTTTCTAGTCTAATGGGGGCGAAAAGTATTATGCTAGGTCCTATATTTAATTAAATTTGTGTGTTGTATACCTCAAGTATCTAATTTTTGTATGCATAACATGATTTTGTGTGATTTCCCCTTTCCATATATATTTTTCGAAAATATACAAGTGGAGATAATTATAGCTAAAGTACGAATATTGAACTTAATTAAATTCCTCTCCTTCTCTTTAATAGACATTATTTAATACGTTTTCGTTCAGCAGCGAATGTTACATAGTAGGCTTTCGGATTAATTATTTAATACTTTTGCCAAATTAGTGGAAATTTGCATACGTTTTCTTCTGCTGAAACAATTAACTGCCATTGCACAATATAACCTGTATTTAGTTGCGTTTTTGGACTTTACATAGTTTTAATGCCGAACTAATAATTTTTTTTTTTAACATTCTTTTGCTATTTTGGCAGTGGATTGGTAATCAACTCTTCTTTTTTTCAACCAGTAACAATCAAAGGGGCCAAGAGCGGGCAGCGAGCATTGATAAAAAAACATAAAGCAGGTAAAAGATAATAATAAAAATAATGATAATAAAAGTAAACATATGAGTAAACGTGTGCCAAAGAATCTAGTTTGTGCTTGAAACAGCTCCGATTGCCGTGGCCGCGGCATCTCCTCCCCACTCCACCAGGTACTGGACCTGCCCGTTTCCCATCCTCCGCTTGGCCCGGATGGCAAACGGTTCGCCGGAATCTATGCGGTTCATGGCACCGCCGAAATACTTGTTCACCGATTGCTTCAGGTCCAGTATGGAATGTCCTGTGGCTGCGCCGCCATTGCTGCTGCTGCTGTTTGTTGCTGTCGAGCTGACGGAGTTGCGACGACTCTGGCTGGGCGACAGCTTCTGTGGCCGCTGGCGTAGCAGGCGTCCGTGCGTCGGCTTTCCCATGGGTGGCGCCAGCGCCGGCGGCTGCAGATCTTTGGCATAGAGGGGAAGGTAGTGGCTGGGTATGGGATTAATTGTTGTGGTGCTGATGACCTGTCAAGAGAGACAATGGGTGAGTAAAGATAATCACAATCAAAGTTAAAAAGATGCCTTACCTCAATGGACGTAGTCAGGCGGCGGGTGCGACGCCTGCGCACCTCTTGATTGGGGCCAATGGTTATGTCTTTGGCACTCAGTCTTCGCTTGATCGTGCGCACCATGCGCGGCTGCTCCTTGGCATTTCCCTTGAGCTTGAAAATGCTATTGATGAGCCCAGTCACTCCAATGGTCGCCCCCACGCCGACGCTTCTGCCCAGCGTCGATTTCTTTGGCGTGGCCATTAAAAAGGGATTGTTGCGACCAAGAAAGTTGGCCGGCGGGGGTATGATGAGGTCCAGCGAGCTGGTGCCCCGGCTGCTGCTCGAGTTCTCATCGGATGATAGATCACAGTGGTTGCGGCTGTTGTCGTAGCGCTTGGACAAGCGGAATGCCTTGCGCTTCCGACTGCTGTTGGCGTCCAGGAGCGGTGGAATGGGTGCTGGCAATTTTCCGGGATCACCATCGTTGGCATTGTCGTCAGCCAGATCGAGAGCCCTCGCCGCAATCGGTTCCGGCTGCGACTTTTGCAGTGTTAGCTCATCCTGTCCATCGGCTTTTTTGTTATTTGCCTGCATTTTGGCTTTCTCGATGATCTGCTTGATGGGAATCTCGTCCTCACTGGTCTCCAATGCCTCGTCCTCATCGGTATTGAACTCGTACACATCTTTGGGGGCCCTCTTGGGGGGTTCACCGCCGACACTTAGATCCACATCTTCTGCTGCCATCAGCACTACCTTGAACTTCCTTTCCAGCATCTCATCGGACAGCTCCTCCTGTGGCTGCAGAAACACCTTTGGTGTGAGTGGCGGACCACTGTGTCGCAGCGCATAGAAAGCTGGCGCTCTCTTGAACTCCCGGCCGCACACGAATCTATCGGAGTAGTCTTTCAGCGTCTGCTTGATGCGCTCCATCAAGGCAGTCTCGGGAAGAGCGCGCCACTGCTCGCAAATTGGCAGCTGGTGACGCTGCTCGAGTATGAAGGGCCAAATGTCCTTTAGCAGGTGATGGTACTTCTGGTGCTGATGCTTTCGCAGATTGTACAGCGCAATGTGGAGCACGTCCACCCAGTCGATCTGCAGGCGTCGCACATACTCCACGCCCTGGTTGCACACCGTGCAGCAAAACACAAAGAACCTGGAAGAGGATACGGATTAATTAACTTTTAGACTAAATACAGCGCAGCTTGATCCTTACGTGTCGCCACGCAGCAATTTTCTCTTGAAGTTTTGCATGCATTGGGTGTGGAACCAGTTACGACATTTGCAGCACTGCAGCATGTTGTGGTCGAATTTGCCCGGCTTTCCGCAGTAGCAGTAGATCTGTTCCTCGTTAACCCGATGCTTCTCATCCCAGCTGAGCTTATCCGCCTGCGGAAAAAAAACCCCAGATTAGCAACGTAATAACCTAATCCCCTTCTGGTACTTCTTAAGCCAACTCACATGGTAGGGTAACTGTCGGCAAATCCCTGCTGGCTTCGTTATCTCATGGTTCAGCGGCTGTTGCATTTTCATAGGCTTTGCGCAGCGCTTGCAGCTCCAAATGCAGCTTCCCTTCACGATTTCAACGGTGCATCCGCGATGGTAGCCACGTCCACAGCGCTCACATATTTCCACCACATCCTCAATGTCCGATCGCTTGCAGGCCACACACATAGGTCCACTGGTAGGGGTATTCGAGCTATCCGAACTGGATCCGCCACCACCAGCGGCTGTACTACCGCTCGAGGAGCTACTGCCGCCCAGCTTGCGAAGCTTGTCCGGCTCACACCATTGCTCCGACTGGTCGTCGAACCGTATGAGAAACTGCTCGGTTGTCTGCTTGATAACGGTGCCCAGGTAGAACCTGCCGTCTTTAAACCTAACAAAGACGTCCTCCTGCAGGGCGTAGGTGACAGCCGGTGGAGCCGGAAGAGCTGGGGGCGACGGCGGTGTAGGGGGAGTGGGTGGCGTTGGCAGAACTGGTTCCTTGGCCTTGAAGCTCGGCTTCATTTGGCTGACGGCCTTGAGCAGCGATTGCGTGTGCGACGGCAGAGGCGGCGGCGAGGGAGACGATTTGCCGGGCGAGCTCATCGTCTCCGGCGTGGTTGGCGGTGTTTGCGGTGTCGTTGTTGTGGAGTCTGGCTCATCCACAATCACGACAGCCGTAGAGGGGGTCGCCCCACTGCCATAGCTGCTGCTGGACACGGAGCTACTGCTGCAGCTGCTGCTGTCCGCCGTGCTGCTGTCGATGAGTGGAGCGATGGCCTTGTGCTGGATGACCGGGATGATGGGCGACGGCTGTTGGGCCGTGCTCCGGGATGACAATGAGCATAACGAGGGGGGCGCCTCGCTGTAGTGGTTATTGATGCAGATATTAATGCGGTCCCGTCCGCCGGCCCCTATTAGACCAAGCTGACCTGCCGCCGGATTTCCGACATCCGGCACAAAAAAGGACTGAACGGGCGCATAAATTGAATGCTGATCCTGCGGCGACTTATTCAGACTGTATACATTTGGCGCCGTCGAGATAATGCGTATGTTGTTCCCCTTGTAGGGACTTGGCCCCGAAGAGCTCGCCACTGCCGAGGCTGCCTGTTGCTTCGTTGGCGTGGCCTGCTGGGCGAAGCTATTCGTGATCTGGATGGTGTTGGGATGTGAGGACTGAGCCTGCGGCAGGATCTGAAAGGTCCACTGTGGCTGTTGGCCAGCCGCCGACTGCGGCAGGTACCCATAGGTAGTCGCCGGTTGTTGTGCTCCGGAGGCGGACATAGAGACCGGGAGAGCCGCCGGCGGCTGCAAGTACGGATGTGGCACATTTGGCAGCGGCTGTGGCGGCGAGTGTTCGTGTTGCAAGTGGAAATGGTTGTTCATCATCGTGGGTGCTGCTGCTATTGTTGCTGATGTGTATGTGTGGGCGTTTTAAGTGCCGATTCTTGTGTGCAGACAGTGATGAAAAAGAAGAGCAGCTTCAGTTGGGTTTGCCGGGTTTTGCTGGCTCTTCGTTTTTATTTTTGGGTTATAGTTTTCGGCCCGATTTTGTTAATTAGCACGAGCGCCCCGCAATCTGGCGCCTTTTTCAATCAATTTGTTGTTGCCCGCCGCTGGCAATACACTAACACTCGAGCGCTACACACGTACGGAGCTCTGGAAGCGGCCCTTTTGTATTCGGTTTGTCTGTCCACATTCGTACTTTTCCACACGCACCACGGAACACATTTTCAGGCGTCGATTATCCACCATTCAGCGTATTTTAACGCGTCCATTAAATTAGCATTGCGCTAAAATAGATCCGGCTGTCGGCTTTAGGCGTTCTTGTGCTCAGTTCATCGTCAGTACCATTGAAAATGCACAAATCCATCACTTGAAAAATTAAAGATGAAAAATGGCTGTTCAACATATGCCCGCAGTGTTGGTCAGCGGTCGAACGGTAGTGTTGGAAAGATCCAGAAATACCAGAAAATACTGCATATTTGTTCTGTTATTTTTATCCATTTCCATTTCGATTTAAACTTGGAAAGACGTGTGTTTGCAGCCCTCCCTCTCTGTAAATATATTCCCATTTTAAAAAATTAAGTTAATTTAATTACCTATTATTTGCTATTTTGCCATTTAAATGGATTTCCTAGAGGACGGCAGCACGCAGTGTAAACATACCACAACGAATGCATAATCATTGCAGCTGCGTCAGTTTATAAATTAAATTGTGTAAACAACATTTCAATCCCAGCTTTAATAACAATAAACTGGTTAAGTTAATTGAAATTCTAATGATCATTCCGCGAAACGGGGTCAACGTTTGAATAATGAAGTTTCGCGCCAGAAAATACCGGAAGAATACCGAGTCCCCGAGCAGACAGCTCCGATTGGTATAAATAGCAGCGAACTTTAGTCCGATAGGTTTTGCCAAACTGGTCACGCTACGAGCAATAGCAAATCGAAGAAGACGAAGAAATTTCATTAATTTTCACTTGTGAATAAAACGTAGAAAAAAGTGCCTAAAACTGAACTATTAAGTCAAGTGAACACGGGGCCAACGCAAAGTGAAGTGAAAATACGACGGCGAACGTGTTTAAACGCAGTTAAAACCCCCGAAAACGGGCGAGAGCTGAAAATTGTTAAGGTAGGTAGGCGGAGGAGCAGAAGAAGAATTGGAGCTCCGCTCGTGCAAGTTGGTGGCTCGAATGACGCACTTAGCCATAATTGAAAACATCCGAGCTGCAACTTTCACATCAAATCGCATTTATATATATAGTATATATATCTTACCTGCACACACGCACACTCCCACACTCGTGGCCTGCATACACACACTCGTGCACCGAAAAGTGAACTGTGAACTGTAAAAAGAGCATTTGTGTGTGTGTGTGCGTGTATTGTGAATTCATTGATTACATGGAATTACTCTCGTTTTCAGGTTGCCGCTGGTGACCATATGTCCAGGTTGCGACAAGCCGCCAAAGCCGTGCAATTTAAGCACGAGTCCACGGAGGAGGAGGACGACGACGACGACCAGCCGCAGCAGCGAGCAAATACACGCAGGAGCATGCATTCATTCGGGGACAACGGCGCCATAGGCAGCGGAGTGCCGGCCTTCTTGGCCAAGCTCTGGCGCCTGGTGGACGATCCGGAGACAAATCAGTTGATCTGCTGGACCAAGGTAACGTAGCGCCGCCATGTTGTTTATTTACCGTGGTCTCTTTAGCCCCCAATATTTACTATTTACCATTTATTAGCATGGCAACAATAGCAGTGCGTGCAGGTGTCTTCATCTCTTGGCCACCACTCTCTTTTCCTCTCTCACTGACACTCTCTAAATCTCTCTCTCTCTCTCTTGTTTTCCTCGTACGTCATTCTTGTTGTTGCTGTGCCGCGCCGCACGTATGCAAGTTTTGTGGCCTGCTCTGCCGTTGTTGTTGTTGTTTATGCAATTTGCATGCGTACGTGCGTGCCCTCTGTAAAATTTTCCATCTCCTCCAGCTGTCAATGGAACCGTTCCACCGCTTTCCATTAACAACGATAAGAGCAATTGGCCCTCTCTTAGCAAAGAGCAGGCTGATAAGCAGGCGATACCTTTTACAAGTTATATACTTTTCGGCCTCTATAAGTACATATATAAGTGTATTTATAATTAGATAACTATAATTGTTTGTTTGTGTAGAATGAATTGCTATCGGCTTGCCGCAAAATATGTTTGCGGTATCCACCTATCAGCATGACTCTCATTACGCTTCCTTTTTGCTCGCCTATTTGCAGGATGGTCACAGCTTTGTCATCCAAAATCAGGCGCAATTTGCGAGGGAACTGCTGCCACTTAACTACAAACACAACAACATGGCCAGCTTCATCAGGCAGCTGAATATGTGTAAGTGAATGCTAGAAAAGCAATACTTTAAACAATAGGTAACCATGTCGCCTTTTTGAACCCCAGATGGTTTCCACAAAATCACATCCATCGACAACGGTGGCCTGCGCTTTGATAGGGATGAAATCGAGTTCTCGCATCCTTTTTTCAAGCGTAACTCGCCCTATTTACTGGACCAAATCAAACGGAAGATATCAAACAACAAGAACGGGGACGACAAGAGTGTTTTGAAGACGGAGGCCGTGTCTAAGATCCTCAGTGATGTCAAGGTGATGCGGGGTCGCCAGGATAACCTGGACTCGCGCTTCTCCGCCATGAAACAGGAGAATGAGGTGTTGTGGCGCGAAATAGCCAGTCTGCGCCAGAAGCACGCCAAGCAACAGCAGATAGTCAACAAGCTTATCCAGTTCCTAATCTCGATTGTGCAACCGTCGCGCAACATGTCCGGTGTCAAGCGCCACATGCAGCTGATGATCAACGATGCGCCTGAAAACGATCGCGCACGGACTACTAGCGAGACGGAAAGCGAGGGCGGTGGCGGCCCGGTCATCCATGAGCTCAGCGAGGAGCTACTAGACGAGGTGATGAATCCCTCACCCGCTGGCTACGCCGGAGCCGCGGTGTACGACCAGGAAAGCGTCTCGCCGCTGGCCGTCGAGCGTCCCCGATCAAACATAAGCGTCAGCTCACACAACGTTGACTATTCGAATCAGAGCGTCGAGGACCTGCTGCTTACGGGCAACGGAGCCTCCGTCGGTAATCTCTTGACAGCGGGAGCTGCCTCTCCGCTGGCCTCCAGCCTGAGCGGCTCGCCGGCTCAGCAAATTGTGTACACAGTGACCGAGGCGCCCGACTCCCATGTCCAAGAGCTGCCCAACAGTCCCCCCTACAACGAAGACCATAACGTTCTCACCACGCCCATGGTGCGGGAAGAGGAGCGAAAGCGTCTGGAGCTTAAGGAGAGAAACAAGCAACGCCGACAAGCCGGAGACCAGCAGATGGTTGATTCCGGCTCCATTCTGGTGGAGGAAGTCGCGCCCAAGGCACAACGTACACGCAACCAGCTGAAGCCGGAAGCTCAGTCGCCAAAAGCGATGCCCCAGCCCGTGCTTATCAAGGCGGAGCCAGAGAACAATGCCGGACTGCTTGACCTAATCAATCCAACGAATTCTGATCTGTATGATGTGAACTTTATTAGCGAGGACATGCCGACAGACTTGTTTGAAGTAAGTAGCTGATTGTTTAGTTTGAAACTGTGTAATTAAGTGCGCTATTACTTATTAACCAGAATCCATCTCTCTTGCCAACTGGTATCGAGGAGGCTGCAAAGCTTGATCAGCAGCAGAAATTCGGGCAATCGACCGTGAACAATGGCAAGTTTGCCAATAACTTTGGAGTGCCTGCCACCACCACCAGCAGCAGCAGCACTCTACTGGACGCAAACCAGGCCTCCACATCAAAGGCAGCGGCTGCTGCCAAGGCCACCGAAGAAGAGGCGGCCATGGCTGTGGCCAAGTACACGGGAGGCGAGAATAGCGCTGCCCGGGATCCCAACAACGGCCACCAACTCCTCAGGATGGCTTCAGTGTTAGTAGAGAATAGGAACGATGCGTCCAGAGTGGTCAGCAATAATCAAGAGGCTTTTAATTCTTCCTGTTGCAGTGACGATGTGCATGGCCACTTGGACAATATGCAAGATGAGCTTGAATCACTAAAGGATCTGCTGCGCGGCGACGGTGTGGCCATTGACCAGAATATGCTCATGGGTGTAAGTATCCCTAGGTAGTAGTGCCCAACACTAGCTCTTAATCCAGCTGTCCGTCGTCTGTCCGACCCAAGGCTTATTTCAATTACGTTTTATATTCACAAATAGGCGCCTGGCAGGACGCCCATTTTTCAGCTGACCGAGGACGAGCTCTTACTGAAGGTCAGCGCAAAGCGTCCATACAAATGCCAGGCCTTTATGTCCGAAAACGCATTAAATCATTTAAAACTAAATTTCTCCCTTAATTTTGTGTATCTTACAGCTCTTTAACGACTCTGATCTGCTGGATAACTATGGCCTATCCTTTCCCAATGACAGCATGAGCAGTACCGAGAAGAAAGGTGGGTTTGCAGCTATAATTACTTTGATATATGCCTACTAATGAAAGTTTTCCATGTATAATATAGCTCCCAGTGGTAATGAGCTGATCTCCTATCAGCCAAACATGTTTGATTTGTCCGATATTCTGGACTCTGATGATGGCAACAAGGATGCGGAGGCCAACAGACGTCAGCTACAGTCGCAGAGCTCTATTTTGAATACGCCGCGACACGAGCTATAACTCGTAGTTAGCAAATAGTTGGCTCAGATCCTTCTTCATGTTGATTTTCTTCACTCTAAAATCTTAATCCTTTTAGTTGATTCTGTTTTTTAATCATATTAATATTAATATTTGTAATAATATTAATGATGCTGTGTATATGCCTTATGCACTATATATATGATATATAGACTAACCTAACCAGTTCTTGTTTTAGAAAGACTCGAAGAATCAGTTAATATTTAGATGTACTTTATATATATATTCGGGGATTTTGCGAGCCTCGGCTCAGGTAGATCTGTGTGTTTTTTCTTTAGTTTGCACTAACCGGTCATTAGCTGATCGATCATAGACTTTGTAAGAGATATCGCACCCCATAGAACGTACGTTTTACACATTACTTTTTATTAATCGATAATAAAGTGTTTTAAGCTGCTACGTTGGAGCTGCGAATGAAATCGTATACCGCCTTTTACTTGAATTCCTATGAAATGCTTTGTTTTTGTGCTTTATTTTTATTTGGGATCATTGTTGATACAACTGAATAGATATGGACACAGGCCTATCATATCGCTTGTCTTAATATAAACTAAAAAGACAACCTAACTTACAGCTTAGCCTAGAAACTAGAAACGCGAATTACAAATTCTTTGTAAATTGAGTATTACATAAAACTCGGGTGTATACAAAATAGTGTCCACGCAAAGATCTTATGTGTACTAACAAGATGAGTAACTAGAATTTTAGAGAATTGGAAAACCGATGTATGAGCGTTATGCATCTTGTTATTATAAGGTCTTTGGTGTGTGTGTGTGGGTTGTGATTGAGTGTGTTTATCATTAAAACGACTAATGAAAAATTGTACGTATTGCAAATAGAGAGTATAGAGAGCATCGCATCCCACAACCGGGAAGTCATCCACTTAGGACTCATCCTTGTACTTGGCATCCTTCAGTATATTGGCGAACTCGAACTTGACCCGTTCCCGTTCCGACCTGGGCATGCTGCGCAGTGTGTCCACCAGCGAAAGGCAATACAGCTCGATGGGATCGCTAAAGGGCGAAAGCCTTGGATTTGGCGCAGACGGGAGGGCTGCTGCCTTGCGTTTCGCCGGATTGGCTAGGAATTCGCTGGGTAAGGTACGCCGCGTGGCCGCCGGATTGACCAGGAATTCGCTGGGTATCGTGCGTCTGCTGGTTGCCGCCTTGTATATCGGTTCAATGGTCACCTCTCCATTGGACAACGAGCTGTTCTTGATGTGCTGATGGTCTTGCTGCTGCTGCTGTTGCGGCTGGTCCTGGTCGTAGCCATTACCCATAACTACCATGGGTGTGAGCAGGGGTGAGGAGGCCGGTGAGCTGACATGAGTATTGTCCTGGTCATTTTCGTGTTCGTGACTGTGGTTGCTGCTGCTGGTGCCATTGAGCGGCCCTTGCAGGGTCAGCTCAGCCTTGGGCTCCATGACCAGCTGCAGCTCCGGTACAATCTCGTTATCGTCGCTGTGCGAGCCATCGTCACTGTTGTCCAGCTCGATGATGTCGTACCCCTCGGAGGCATCGATCTTGAGGTGCTCCGGGTCCGGGTAAAGGAAACTGTTGCTATCATTGTCGCTGATGCCGTTCTGAGCGGTCACGTAGCTTTGGGATTTCTTCACGTTGTAGGTCTGGGCGGTGTTCTGTAGGAAGGAGAGATCCTCGGTGAATCGTCTCTTCCGCACATTCGGATTCGCCTGGCCCGTCTCAATGGCCTTGATCTCCTGCAGATAGTTGTAGCGTATGTTCTTCCATTTGGTCTGCAGAAAGCGCGCTACGCAGAAAAAGTACAAGGGTGGGTTTTAGCCACAATCTACGCAGCAGAAATAGCTGAAATACTCACAGGAGGCGCCCAGTTCCGATGCAATTCGATCCCATATGTCCACACGGACCGGATTACGGCGATAGTGCGGATGGCTGACATCGTAGATGGCCGGATTTGAGCGCACCAGCTTTATCAGGCGATCGTCTGCAAGCAGGATTAAGTGGGAAAAATCGTTAAAATCTGTGTTCGGGGTTCGTGTTTTGTGTTTCTACGTTTCTTCGGCAAGCAACCCCTAAGCGCAGAAGACGCGGCCCAGGACAATCGTCCTGCTTTGGGGGTTGATTCTGCAATTCGCTACTGGCACACACAGGCCCTTTTCCTTTTCCACCGTGTACCGAAATCGCAGGCAAGAAAGAAAACCAACTTACCGAACTCGGGTCCTGTGGTCTCCCGTTCCGCGTAGTAGCGCTGCATCTTCTCTGATTTAACACTCGGCTCCTGGTTGCTGCTCCTCCTACTCATTGTATTTGGTTCTCCTTGCAGCTAGCTTTGGTTTTATCCAGTCCGAGACTCCACGGCCATAGGCGGTAGCTTTCTTTTTAAGACTGCTCTCTCTCTCGCAGGCGATTCTAAAAGTTTATTATGTTGGGTCCGATTTACCGTTGTCCCGTTCTGCGCGTGCTCTCTCTGATTTCGCCGTTTGTTTTCCGCGCTCTCCGCTAGAGATGGCAGCCGAATCGATAACCTAAGCGATTTATCGATATGTCGGACTTGTATCGGAGGAATCATTATTAAATTAAATTAAAAACCAAAACTGATCTGGGTGCCAGTGGAAAATTCTAAAACTTCAGAAAATCCCTGGAAAACTAGGGAAAACCTGAAATCAAGGAAACACAAGCATTTTCCCAGCGACTGTCTGGCAGCTCTTCATCGAGTGTGACCAGGTGGCGGTGGAATCTTGAACATCGGTCCCACTGGCATTCCAAAAAAGCGACTAACAACAAAACACGGCTTGGGCATTTTCCTCCGCTCGCGCCGCCCGCTTTAACACCGAACAGCACGTGCCCGCCGCCTCCGGGACAGGCGAAAGATGATCAACGGACGCTATGGCAGGTTCGGTGCACTCATCGGCGTCGCGTACGTGAGCAGCACCCACTGCCGCTTTCTGGTGAGTCCAAAAGCCGAAAATGCACGCACACACGCACACCCATACGCCGGACAGCTGACTCAATTTCTATTTCCATAGATTTACTCAACCAAGAATGCCGAGGTGCTGGCCTACCACGAGCAGAAGCTGCGCCAGATCGTCCATCAGGCCGGCTGGCTGGAGTACGACCCAGCGGAGATATGGAAGCATATGCAGGAGTGCATTGAGGTGCGTGTAGCAGCGGGAGTTATATCATCGCAGGGGCGGCGACTTATCAGACCCACTTTTTTTTTTTTAGACTGCATACAAGAACCTGGTGATACTGGAGATCAATCCGCATGACATCATCGCCGTGGGCATCGTCAATCAGCGCGGCACCTCGGTGTTGTGGAACAAGCAGACGGGTCAGCCGCTGCACAATGCCATCGGCTGGTCCGATTGCCGCAGCAATGCCATCCTGAAGACGCTGCTTCACAATGTCCGGCACAATGTGGACTACGTGCGTTATCGCAGCGGCCTGCCGTTGAGCAGTTGTTTCAGCGCTTTGAAGATTCGCTGGCTGCTGGATCACGTTCCTTCTGTGAGCAGTGCTATTAAGGAGGAGAAATGCCTGTTCGGCACTCTGGACTCGTGGCTGCTGTGGAACCTAACCGGCGGAGTGGAGACGGGTGTGCACTCCACGGACCTCACCAATGCCCACTACACCGGCCTCATGAACCTCTCAACGCAGCAGTGGGACTCGAAGCTCTGCCAGTTCTTCCGCCTGCCAATCAACATACTGCCACGAATACGTTCCAACTCGGAGATATTTGGCTATGTGCTGGAGGGTCCGCTGTTGGGCGTTCCCATTGCGGGCATGATGGGCGAGCAGCCCGCCTGTCTGTTGGGCCAGCTCTGCGTAAAGGCCGGCCAGAATGTCTGCACGCTGGACGACAGTTGCTTTGTCCTGCTAAACACGGCCAAGGAGAAATTGGACTCGGCTACTGGCCTCATTACGGGCATAGCGCACAAGCTGGGCCCCGAGGAGGCCACCAACTACACTCTCGAGGGCGCCATCTCCAATGCAGGCTCCACGGTCACCTGGCTGCGCGAAAAGCTGCGCATCAACACTGAGATTAATTCCAACGACAATGTGGTGGAATCCCTAAATACCTTTATCGGTGAGAACTCTATGATCTCGTCCTCCTGCTCCTCTTCCATGCTAAACGTCGAGTGCGGACTGGCGGCCAAGCGTTCGGAAATCACTCTGGTGCCGGCCTTTCATGGCCTGTATGCTCCCTACTGGCGGCACGATGCCAGAGGGATCATATTGGGCCTTAGCAGCCAGACGACAGCGGAGAATATCACGCAGGCTGCGTACGAGGCGACTGGCTTCCAGATTTACGAAGTACTGCAGGCATTCAGGAGGGACACGCCCAACTGGGACCGTTCCAGCATTCAGTCTGTGCTCACATTTGGCGGCGATTACGCCGAGAACACACATCTGGTGCAGTTCATTGCGGACATAATTGGCTGCATGCTGGAGCGGCCGCAGACCACCTCGCCGGCGGGACTAGGCGTCATGATAGCCGCTGGCGTGACCATGCAGGTGGTGTCCCTTCAGTATGCCTTGAAAATGTACTTACCGCCCACGGACGTCTTTTCGCCGACGACCACGCAGAATCGTAAGTTTACTAATCGTAAGAATGTCGTAAAAACATATATAATTAATTTTGCTTTTGTATACAGGTCGGGAGCTGCTTTACAGGCGCTGGGACTATGCAGTGAAGAGGTGCTTGCATTGGAACAACTATGAGACTTACGAAGCCGATGTTGAGCTCTTTGGCCAACGCGAACTTGATCCCAATTTACCCGTTCGTCGTTCTTTACCTGGCAGCTTGTTTCTGACCACATCGTTTGCTCTGCTCCTGCTGGCCAACTATCTAAAGAGCAATCCCCTGAAATAGTGGAGAAGCAGCATGTTTAGCAGCAGCAGCAGCAGTTCAATCTAGTCAGCTTTCAAAATTTATTGTTTAGTTTAGCTTGTAATATCTTATTTAGTTCATTTGATATTTGTATATAGAATCCCATTAGTTTTTGCCAGACTTGTAGATCAAAATATTTGTGATTCACCCCGTATACACCACTATATTCTACATATATACATAGATATATACAGTTTCGTAAGCTTACTATCTGTTTTGTGCTTGAAATCCTTGCTTAACCCCAAAGACAATTGTTAAGGAAGAGCACAAAAGGTCGAGTAAAGCGGGTGAATGTGGCAGCAAACTGTTGAAGATTGTGTTTTACAGGAGAAGGATGAGCACAAGTGGCCACTGAAATCCATTTGCCAGTTAATTAGCTGGCTGGGCTCCTTCGCGGAGCATGTATTCATCACCTGCACCAGGCACATTGAATGCAGCTCAAGTTATTGCGCTTATTGTTGACACGCGAATCGTTGCGAGTGGGCCAGGAGCTGAAGGAGCTGCCGTAGCAGCTGTGCCCGTGCATTTCCGCCTGCAGGCAATGTGCACTTGAACGCGACTTCACCCCGGCCCCAGGAAGTGGGAGCAGGAGCAAGGTGAGCCCTTGGCTGTTGTCTCTGCTGCTCCTGCTGCACTTCGTTGTCGTTCGTCCAGCAGGCAGGCGAGGAGGCACTCATTCAAATGAGTTTTTATGCGCGAGCGTTTGCCAAATCACCTACGGCCCAAAGAGTGAGGCTTATGATAAGCATTAGAGGGAGCTGTGAAGCGTTAACTAAATAATTTTTTGGGTTAAATGAAAGTTCACTATTATTTTAAAATGAATTTCTGTAGTAAATTAATTATAATTGTATTAAAACATACATTTATTTTGCATATTATAAGCAACTTATGTATACCATAATTGTAATAATTTATTGAATCAAATAAAAATAAGCCTTTAGCAATCGAAGCTAATACTAAACAATAGCAGGGATTAAATAAATCATTTATACACAATAAACTCAACTTATAATATTAATAATAAAATATCTAAAAGTGTTTAAACAATGTTCTTGAATAAGCTATTTGAAATTATATAAAAAATGTTGTATTTGCAAATTGTTAAAGGAATTTAAAACTAATATGTTCAATTATTTCGATAAATTTGTAATAATATATAATTCTAAATAATATATAATTATATTTAAATGAATTAATAAATATATTATTACCTAAATGAGCAAAGTATTATTAAAATAAATATAATATTAAATAATATATTACTAGTTATGGTATTTATTTTTAAGGCAGAATCATGCCTGATTTCTTCCCTTTCTCTTTTTTGTGTTTTAATTTACTCAATCTATCATTCATCAATCTCTGTATATGGATAAACCTATCCTTTGTAGCTCATTGGAACAGCCTGCTATAGCCAAGCTATGAATCTCAGCCACATATTCCTGTCCGCTGTCTGCCAAATTGGTTTGCATTCGAAGACAAAAAACGTCGACGATGGAGCGCAGCAGTAAAATGTGAAATTTGTGCAAACAGTCAGGAGGCAGTTCCTCCTTCTTGTTCTCCCCCTTTAAAAAAACCTCTTTCTCCCCCAAATCTCTATCGGGGGAGGGAGTTTCCTGGGGGCGTGGTAGAGCCAAAGACGCAAGCAAACTTTGCACGTAGTCAATTTAAATAAATTAACACGCTGTTGTGTGTGTGTGTGGGGATAGATAAGGAGTACGCGGCGGAGGTGGTTACTCCGCCGTGTCCCACTGTGCTGCAATATGCCAAAATACGAGAAATTGGACATGGCCACGTAGAGGCAACCGGGACAATGTCTCATGGTCAGACTAGGCGGGAGGGTAACCACTGGCGGGTATCAATGTCCTCTCCCGGGTGGTTTCCCTTCGGGTGCAATGCTCGGGGGGGTTGGGTGGCCATTCAGCCATCCAGCCATTTCGGGTGTTTTGTGCGACTGCCACAACGCATAAATCTTCAAGTTTATGGCATCAATAAATGTCGGGGCGAAGTAATGATTTCGTCAAGTTCTCCCGGCCTTTGTGCAGCGGCACAAACCGAGAAATCCTCCCCTCAACGTTGACTGCATTCACACCCGGGGGTTGCTCGTAAGCTTCTGAAGCAGCTGGAGAAGGAGGAAAACAGGAAAAGAAGGGGAGGAGGAGTATAAGGACGAGGAGGAGGTATTGCCCTGCCAGGGATCTATATAACTGGGCACCAATCAAGCTGAGAGACTTAAGTCAGTCTCCACGCAAAGAAAGGTTATGGGATTATTGGCATAAATAATTAGATTTATTTTGAACATTTTCTAAGCAAATATATTAGAATACTTGAAAAATATACTGATTTTAATATAATTCTTTCCAATTTCTCTCACTGCAGTTCGTTCACCTTAACCAAAATAATTTGTGGGCGTGTTGACGTCGCCTCCTTAACCAATGGACCTGAAAGGCTTCACACATTCGGCGCACAATTTATTTATTGGGCGAAATTTGCGAGTCAGTTTATGGCTTTGTAACTCAGGAACTCATCTGCATATGGGCCCAGGAAGAGCTACAGGAGCAGCTCGACTTATGCTCGGCTTTATCAGCCCGGTTTTTGGATCCGGAGCCGTAGCACTGCTCCTGACAGAAACTTTTTACGCACTTTTTTTACGAGCCAACAACACCCCGCCTTCGTTCGCATGGCAGGTCGTCATAAAAATGTCGTAAATTCGCTGAAGCGAAAGTTTGAGCTTGGGCTTCCTTTTTCTCTCTTTCGGTGCCATCGTAAAAACCTTAATTAATTTTCTAATCAACATTTTGCGCCTGCATGTAAATCGTCTGATTTGCCGCCGAGTCCATTTCGAGCCAGTCCCCGCTTATGTGTAGCATAATTTCAGGCGCTCCTGCTCCGCCGCCTCTCGGAGTAACCAGAGTACTTCGGCTCCATTAGCTGGCGGCTTTGGCCTGGTCTGGCCGGGTCCTGCTCGGTTAAGTCAGCTGCGATATGTCAAAGTAAACGGCTATAAAGTCCCAACTCAACTGGAAGCCAGGAGGCGGGGCTCCCAAACTGGCGCCAGCAGTAAAAAGTTGCGTGCTCTGCGTTCGGATGATGATGATTCCTGGCATTGTTTTTGGTGGTGTTTACTTAGTTTGTTAGTTGGTATTTTGTTTTGATAGTTTATGCACAGGGAGAAATATGTTTTGGGTTTTGTTTGTTGTACATGAAAATTAATTTAGAAGTCTTGAAAAAGATGTGGAAAATATTAAAAGGATTTTTACAATTAATATTATTTTAGTTAGAAGCTTGCAACGCACTGAAGTAGTCATTTCCGAACCTATAAATCATATATATTCTTGATCAGCATCAACAGCCGAATCGATCTAGACATGAAAGCAACAAAAAAATTTTTTATTAATTTTTTTGAAAAATTATAAGGGGTTATCGTTAAAATTGTAAAAAATTTGCATAAATTGAAATTTTCTCAAATTTTAAATTAGGTATGAAAATTTTTTAAACTAATAAAAACTAACATAACAACGCTTTCCTAGTGGAAATAAATTAATGTTTGGCTTAGTTATGATTTTTTAAAGTTTTGATAAGGCATTTTTTGGCAATGGTTTTACAAGTATTAAGAATCTAATAATTTATAGATTATTTTTAAAACAATTAAACATTGAAAACGGTTAGAAGTTATGCTTAAATTAACCTATCAATTAATAAATAAATTCAATATTGTTCACTGCTTTTTCTAGGTGCAGCAATCCAATTGAAGATTATTAGGGAGAAGTTTCAGGGAGAGAAACCAAGAGAATTCCCCACTCCCACCAACCCCAGATATCACTCATTCGCCCCGTCAGCAGCAGCAGCAGCAGTACTGCCCATGCCAATTAAGTGAGAATTTCGGTTGATTCTCCTTTTTTCTGCACAACTGCATAGCACAGCACAAATTAATTTAAATATTTAAAGAGTTTAATTATTTTTTAACTGCCCAACAAGGGCGGCTCTAGAGAGAGAGAGCGGGAAAGGAGTAGAGGAAGCCAGGAGCCAGGAGCCAGGAGCCATCGGCCAAGTGCCATGATCCGCGGCCATAACTGCAAGGCAACCTGCAGGGATATAAATGAGGATGAGAACGAGGACGTCGTCGACGACGACGACAACGGGCAAACAGCCAAGCGTAAACTTAACTGACAAGTGGAGACTTAACTTCCCATAACAAATTGCATTCCAATTGCATGTCGGGAACGCAATCCCACCTCCTGGAGGCCGTGGGGCATAAACAAACACACACGGAGTCGCATTCACTCACAGCAGTGTTCCAGCAGGACTCCTGCGTCCTCGTCAACGTCATTGCTGTTAATTTAAATTGCTTTAAAAAAAATATACATACATACCTATGTGCAGGTGCATGACACACACACACACTGGACTGAATGGGCAAAATGAGAACAGAAGCGAGTCCCATTCAGGGCAAATGGCAACAGGAGCAGCTCCTGGTTGGCAGTTTCCAGCTGGGAGCCTCAGAATCTGAGAGCTTGGGAGTCAGCCTCTCGAGTTGCCAGCTCGCCCACAGATGCCATGCACGAAATAATCCTAAAGGGTGTGAAAAAGTATGAATACAGGCAGCCAAGATGCGGACTCTGGGTGTGGAGATGGCGGAGGACGCGAGAAATGAGCGCGCTCGCTGGTGAAAGGAAAACAAAATTATGCAACTTGAAAATGGCAGACAGACAGACGCACGGAGCCACACACAATTCCGGCTCCTGCTCCTGCTCCTTGGACTGCTCCTCAGTTGCCATCTCAGAGGCAGCGTTCTGTTTTCGTTGCCTGAGTGAAGGCTGCCCCGGATCCCAGTTCAGTTGCCATATCCACCATCCACAGGTCCTCCTCCTTCGGTTTTCTGCTTCCCCTGTGGCTTGGTGCACCACTTGCCCACGAGAGCGTCTCAACAGAAATGCGCTAAGAAAAAAATATTCGAATAAAACAGGAAAGAAAAGTAAAATTTAATTATATAATGTTAAATAATTTTATAGAATTGTTTCCAACGAATGTTGGTAGGTCTAGCTTTAATAGTTGCTAGTTTTAAAGGCTCTTAAAGTAAGACGAACAGCTAAACCTGGCTAAATCGATTTGCCTGATGATGGCGACTCTAAAATAAACATATTTCATGAGCTTGAAAATAAATACTTTTCTGTGTTACTTACATTTTTTTTTTTAAATACAATGTTAAAGTTCATTGTACCTCTTAAAAATGTATAAAATATAGTATTTATAAATAAATTATGTATATATTATTTCCCACAGTGTAACGTATTCATTTCGTCTGCTCTCTCGTGAAGTGAAATGTTTTTGGTTGCAGTTTCTGCTTTGCATTCAATTAAATCCGGGCTCGAAGTAATTGCCAAGTAAATACGAGAAGCAGCAGCCCAGCGACAAGAAGACGGCGGGAGCAGACTATAAAAATACTTGACAAGACAACTTTTGTGGTACATTCCCGATGCTGGAAAATGGGGGAAAATTCAATGGTTCAGAGAGCGAGGCGCCGCATTTTTATTATTGATAAAATTTGCTAAGCGACACAACTTTTTCCCCAGCAGCAAACTTCGTGCGGGTTGTGACAACCCTTTGGATCCTACTCGAGACAGGGCTCCCTTTTGCTCCTTCGACAGTTTATTAAAATTCAGAACGAGCACCAGCAGTCGGAGAAAGAAGAAAATTTCCAGAAATTGTATTACCAAAAATATGGCAAAGATAATATGTGGGGAGAGGCGCAGGAATGGCGGGGAATAGGAGCCATGCCTGCCACATGTGTCGCCTTTAGGGGCCAATCGATGGCGGATGCCGCAGCAGGATGAGCGAGCAGCTGAGCCCGCGGGCGTCTCTGCCTTATCCTGGCATTGGCATTGCCATCCCCCGAAGATCCTGTCGCACTGCGGTTCAATTCAATGATTTGTGGTCCTGGTTGCGCCTTAA